GAGCGAGGTACAAATAGCAAACAGAGCATGCAAAGAAGGTGCACCACCAACAGTTTATAATACTACAGTAAACTACAGCTACAGGAAGTTACAGATATATTCTAACATGACTTAATGACATACTAGGTTATTCGTGCATTCTCTATTAAGATATAGTAGTATGCATACACAGCGAAACATCTTTAGATAGGTACGCCTGCTCTGAGCACACCCTCCCGACTAGTCGTAACCATTTCCCAAACAATCACCACGCCACATCAGTGCCATCATAAGCGATAAACCGCCCATTGTCCTTCTCGCTCAACCCATCGATAACACCCAATAGCTGCTCCGCAGCAAAATCCGGTGTGAAGATCTTATCGGCCGGCAAGTGCGCAGTGAACGGGCGGGTAAGGTCGGTGTCTACAGTGCCGGGGTGTAGCAGCACAGCCAACACTGGGCTCTTCTGGGCGGCCAACTCCACTGCTGCCGTCTTGGTGACTGGGGGAGGAGGAGGGATAGGCAAGGCAAGGGTAATGCGCGGGAGAAGAGGGGGGAGCGAGGGTGAGAGAAGTTAGATGGTCACTGCTGCATGAACCAGGAATAAGGGTGTAAGCAGCACAGCCACCAATGGGCTCTTCTGGGCGGCCAACTCCACTGCTGCCGTCTTGGTGACTGGATGAGGAAGGGAAAGAGCGGGGCGAGGGTGGCAAAAGGGGGTAGGAGAGGGGAAGAGGACAAGAGAAGGGTGAATGCAACAGGGTAGAGGGACAAAAGACTAGGTGTAGAAGCACAGACAACCACCACTGGACTCTACTCGGCTGCTAACTCCACTGCTGCTGTCTTGGTGACTGGGGTAGACGGAAGAGTAATTGGTGAGGGGGAAAGGGTGAAGGGCTTGAGGGGAAGGAGTGACGGCAAGTGAGGCTACACTGATACATGTAACCCATTATGAAACAGCACTGATCTGGTCGAGAGCAGCTTGAGATGCTTAGTAGGAATACCAGCCCCCAATGTGGTTATCAGAGATGGATTGTGTGCAAGGGCCCATGTTGGGCACTACTGAGGTTACATGGATACACGGTACTCAATATGAAGCGGCAATGGACTCACATTGGTTGAGAGCAGCTTTAGGGGCGCGGTAAGAGTACCAGCCCCCGATGTGGTTATCAGAATTGAATCCCGTGCGAGAGCTCATGTTGGGCACTATGGAGATTGCATTGCCGGTGTTACCCACACTGGTTCAGGTCAGGGCAACTTTTGACTCACATTGGTTCAAAGCAGCCTTGGACGCGCGGTAAGAGTACCACCCCCCGATGTGGTTATCAGAGATGGACCCGGTGCGCGAGCTCATGTTGGCCACTATGGAGAAAGGGCGGTTGGGGTTGGTGTGGCCGCCAGTTACCAGCAGCGGCATCATGTGCTGCAGAAGGGGGGAGAACGGGGGAAGAGAGATGGAAAGTGATGATGATGATCGTGAGGTGCCGTGATTTTGGTGTGCGCTCCCGCGATCCATCACCCGCAGCAGCATCATGTGCTGGAAAAAGGGCCGGAATAGGGAATGGGTGGGGAGGAGAAGTGGAACGAAATGATGGTGTTGATGGTGCTGCGACTAGGAAGATGCAAGTGTGGGGTGGGACGGGGAAGGGGGAAAGGAGCGAAGCGGGGACATTGAATGACAGTTAAGAATTTTAAGAATGACACCAATCCAGCAGAGGCGTTGTGCGCTGATGTGAAAGAAGCGGTCATGGTGATGGTCAGAATTGGGCTGGCAGAGCCAATATGTGCGGGCAGTGGTGGTATACCACCGTAGTAGTTATAGAAACAGCCAACCAACCGCATTGCATTGGAATGCACCCATGTAAATTCATCCAACCCCATGCCAAGCCATCCCACCCCACCCCATCAGCTGTCACCACCATCACGGCGTTGACTCTCGTTGACTTGTGAGACCAGTACGCTATTGACTCAACCAGAGCACATGCATGGCCCCATGGCATTGACTCGCGTGGACTTTCCTTAAGCACCCCATGGCGCTGACTCGCGTTGACTCACCTTGAGCACGAGCATGGGCCCCATGGCATTGACTCGCGTTGTCTTACCTTGTGCTCTCCATGGATTTGACTCGCTTTGGCTCGCATTGACTCGCGTTGACTCACCTTGAGCACGAGCATGGGCCCCATGGCATTGACTCGGTAGGCCAGCAGCATGGCGTCCTGGCACAGCCAGTGCAGACTGCTCTCTGGGTACAGGGGAGTGGGAGGGAAAGGGGACGAGGGCGAAACGGGGAAGAGGTGAATCCGGTTGGTCTCACTGCCTATCTAAAAGCATGGCACGAAGGCACAGACGGAGCAGACTGATTTGTTACCAATACGAATACATCAAACACACTGCACCGTCTATCCGGGCTGTACCAACAAACAGCGCAGCAGCATTCATCTTGCTCTACTGTAGCACCGAGCTGTGGCAGCACTCTCAGCTGTTAGGAGCAGCATTCGGCTCTAGCAGCACACCCGGCTGTAGCAGCATACCCGGCTGTAGCAGCAAACTCGGCTGTCCCAGCATACCCGGCTGTAGCTCGTTGGGGCGATGCAGCACACCCGCCACGTTGAGCAGCAGGTCCAGCTTGCCGTACTTCTGCCGCACGGCCGCTGCTACAGCCTGGAAGAGGAAGGAGGGGGGCGATGGGGTTTGGGACGGCAAGGGATGGGGAAGGAAGAGAAGGGAGGGGCATGAGATGCCACGCTGAGCAGCAGGTCCAGCTTGCCGTGCTTTTGACGAGCTGCTGTCGCAACAACCTGGTTGATGTGGTAGAAAGGGGTGTCGGGGGAGGGGGGGGGAGGTGTTGGCGGGTGGCGAGGAGGGAGTGCGAGGGGAGGGTGGCACGGGAAAGAGAGGGGAGGGAAGTGACGAGATGCAGGAAAGCGACAGAGAAAAAAGGGAGAACCGCGAGAAAATGGACGGGAAGGAAGGAGGGGGTGAGAAAATCTCTGGTTGACGCTGGGACGCGGCATGAATGACAGTATGCCATACACTCTCAGGTCTAAAACCCCAAGACTGCTAAGTGGTCGCTTGTGTAATCTGAATCATTCGTCATTACACACTTGTGTAGTCGTCCGTGTTTCGCACTGTGATAAACCTTGAGACCCTCGTTATGGACACATCCAGAAGCTGACTGTGACTCTTCAAGCCTCTGCGCGTGCCCGTCCCTCGATGGTATCCTCTAAAATCACATCCAGTTGCATCACACGCGTCTCATAAGTACCCCCCCTTACCTCGATGGTATCCTCTTTAGTCACATCCAATTGCATCACATCCAGCCGTCCACCGCTCTGGTCGTGCAGTGCGTCCAGGTGCTGAGCGCCCATCGGATCTCGACACGTGGCGATGACGCGGCCGGTTGGCTGCCGCTTCAGCAACTGCTCAACCTGTCCACGTGGCAATCGACGAAGGAAAGCCGGGGGGAAAGGATAGCGCGTAAAACAGTGTGAGAGGGAAACAATAGAGAGTGGAAACGCGAAAGAAAATGAAGGAGGATTGGAAGGGAATCGAACGAATGGAGTAGAAAGTACAGGAGAGCTAAAGAACACGTCCACAGCGTTGCTGGGATTACAAGTTTACAAGAAAAGAGAAGGAAAGAAAGAAAAAGGACAATGCAGATGTCATAGAATGCGAAGTTCGAATTCGAAGATGAGGTCTTCACGAAACGTGGGGGCTCGACCACACTGTATGACGCTTTAGGGAACGACACTGTTCCAATGAATAAACAGTTGGTCTTAATAAAATCGCGTCCCTAAGCAGCTTACAAAAGCGAGTCCAATGCCTTTATCGGACGCCTGAACGAGCGACACCGACTCTTCCGTCACGGACGGCCCAGACGACTGCGACAAATCCGACGCGGGACACGCAGACGAGTGGAATCCCGCCATTGTGTTGCGGAGCCCAGCAGCGGCTGCGCCGGCTGCGGCGGCGGAGGAGGAGCAAGTGCTGGTGAGGTGCTGCCTCGCGGCGACGGAGAGCGCGCCTCCGTAAAGACCGGCGAGGATCGGTCTGGCGGCTCGCCGGAGCAATGAGACGGACGCGTTAGCCATGGATGGAGAGAGGCGCAGCGAGCAGGCTTTGGTGTTGGGTGTGTTTTCGTGTGTGTTTTTCAGGCGTCAGTAACCGAGAGAAAAAACGTATCGGTTTCCGCAATGCGTGCTTGTCCGCAAAGCAAATGCGAGAGGATCAAACCTAGGAGCAACGACGACACAATGGGGAAAATCACAGGAGCGAAGACAAGAACCAACGTCTGTGGTGGAGAAACGGCGGTCAGCGATGGCGGTCAGCAGCGATGGCCACTGACATGTGAAAACAATGCACTGAAAGCAAGAAGGTATAGGAATGGACTCTATGGAAGTGACTGAAAAGGAGTGCAAGGTGAAATTCAAGAAAGCCGAAGGTCCAGAAGGAAGCGGAGGAAGCTCCAAAGGTCAACGATCCGTTCGGTTGAGATGTTTTCTGTATGGTTTTGCGGAGCATCTGGCTGCAGTATTCTCAATGTGCCAGCGTTGACATTCGGACCGAGAATCCAGGAGGATTGGGTATCGCCAGCTCAATATCTGGCACAACCACGTCGTTCACGCTGAGCTTTTTTTCCGGATCTACGTTGATTGGTGCATTGGACAGCCAGATGCTTGCGCCGCTCACAACTGATTGGCCGCCCCCCACCATTCGCCATACAAGGGTTTCACTTCTACGGAAGACTGATGAGAAGGCAATTCATATAGTACTCAGCACATTAGCATTCAGCATTGTTCACAAAAGAACTTTTACAGGTTGCAAGTATCCAGCTTTCGCCCACCTAAGAGGAGCTGCATTCTCGAAGCTCCCTGTACAACAACATACGGTACCAAAAGCAGCCTCCAAAGTACCCTTCATTCAAACCCATCACATTCAACCCTCCAGTCTACACACACAGCCAACACATTCAAAACCCTCACAGTTCAACCATCATTCCACCCAGTCCCGGTAGATGAACCCTACCCCGACGAAGCCGCCAATTCCTCCTCGCCCTCACCTCCCCCGCGCCTCTTCTGCAGCGCCAGTGTCCCACTGAGCGCACAGTAAAACCTGATCCAGGTAAACCTACTAACTACGGCCAGAAACACCGCTCCTTCCGCCAACAGCTGCTGAAACGACAGCAAACCCGGCCCGCCAGACCCCTCCAAAGGAGACACTGGAGAAGAAACGGACTGGGAGGCTCTGCACGAGCACGAAATGGTGGGGGTGGTCTGCGCTCCTGACAAGCGCAGCAGCTCCATCACCGTCAACGGCTGATACTTCGGCGGGTCGCTCATCACGATATTATCCACCTTGTGCGAGTAGATCTTGCCAGAGCTGTCGAGTTTATACTCCGACGTGCCGTCGAAGCGGCCATGGGCCTCCCAGGGGAGGCGGGGGATGCCGCGGACGGACCAGCGGATCTGGATGGTGCGCTCGTTGGGCTGCCACACGCGCAGCACGTCCACACAGAGCGCCTTGAAGAAGATCTTGCCGTGGAAGCGCAGCGCCTTGAAGATCAGCCGGTAGTTGTCCACGCCCTTGAATGTGTTCATGGGGTCCTGGAAGGTTATGTCCTCCCTGATGGGCGAGGCGAGCAGGAAGCACAGATAGAGGAGACAGAATCAATGTTGAGGCAAATCAAAGGGGTAATTATTAAGGCCCTCTCTCGTGGAAGGTTATGTCCTCTCTTGTGGGCGAGCGTCGGAAGCACAGACGGGAGCAGGAATACTGAAATATGAGGCACGTGGACATGTTATTGGTCGATGGCATTGTATGTTAAGTTCACTGGACAACCGAACACAGCAAACTCTCTCGAGCACACACCTGTAGATGTCATACGTCATGTCCCGGTAGAAGAGAGTAGGCAGCTCCTCCCGTAGCGTTCTGATGGCATACCCCACGTTCACATAGTAGTCATCCCTCAGCTCACTATCCTTCTTCGGCTGCAGGCGCAAAACGCACAAATTAAAGAGGAAAAAAACAGGACGAAAAGGAGGGCGGATACAAAGAAACGGATGGTTCGATGAGCAATACAGGAAGACCGGCATTTGTTCAAGAGTGTACCAGCAGACGTTCTCCAGGACGGACAGATCAGAGCAGACATGCATGAGAGAGAGAATCAAGCCATCATTGCAAAGGGCTGCCATGTCCTTGCAGATTCGTTAGACTCGTATGAGGTGGCGTACCTCTAAATTTGTCTGAAGCTGGGTGCTACCAGGCGGGTCCGAGGTAGCAACTCCCAGTACATGCTGGTGAGGGAACTGGAGGGAAGATAAGAACCGTGTGAAGCAGGCGGAAAAGTGGGGAAGGGAAGAAAAACGGGAGAGAGAAAGCGAAATTAATGAGAGGCTGAGGGCAGCAGCAGACGTGAAAAGAATGAGTTATAGCGTGAAAGAGGAAGAGAAGGAGGGGAGAAACGAGGGCACATCATCGGAAAGATGGAGAAAGCACAGAAAAGGACAAAGAAAAGGACAGAACAAAAGACAAGGCAGCATGAGCCTGTGCAATCACATACCTTTATGCCGTTAACTTGTTCAGCATCCATCCTAGTCTCTTCTCCGGTCATGGAAACTGCAAAACATGATAAGCAAAGCGTGGTGGAAGCATAAAAGGCTTAGCGGGAGTAAAATAGGACGGCAAGACTGCCAGGACACAGATATGCACTCAACGAGGGCCTATAACGGGACAACTGGCGAGACATATGGCGGGAAATCCCAATGCTGTCCATGTTTCGGGAAATAACACAGGGCAACTGGACGCAAATGTCTCACAACACTCACCTAGGGGAAGCAAGCCGCCATCCCTTACATGATGCGTGCCCTGAAGGCTGTAGGAGGGATCAAACGGAGTAGGAAAGACGAGTTAATGAACGGGACATCAAACAAGACGAGCAATTTTATAAGTAGCAGGGACAGAACCCACCTTTCACGCTCCGCACTGAAGTAACCAGGAATTTCTTCCGTCTCAGATCGACCTGAAATCCCAGCGAGACCGGACCTAGGGATCTCCACAGCCTCCTCTGCCAACCCGTTGGCGTGAAAAAGCGCGCTGAACACGAGACGCCATCTCGCCATGTCTCCCATCTCTGAAGGTTCCTGCTCTGGCATTGAAGCTAGCTGCACGCGTTCCGGACTGTGTTGAACGGATGCTTGGCGATGTGACAGTGGTTTCTGAGGCTGATGGAGGGAGGGTCAGGCGGGAGGACATATTGGTAAAAATCCAGGATGAAATGAAGAGGTAAACAACGAGGATTTTCCGCTTAGAAATGGGTAACAGTGACATCACAAGCGGGTGCTGGTGAAAGAGAGACGAACAGGTAGGGAACAGTGGAGACTGAGGGAGATGGGGAAATAGAAGAAAGCTGTTCTTCAACAGCAAGAAAACTTCTACATGAGCTTACTGGAGGCCGGACTCATGTAAATCTGAAGCATTTTTTTTTTTACCTTCAGAGGTGGTAAGACTGGCGTGGCTACTCGAGCGGAGGAGCCTGAGCGAGTCGCAGCCACCACGGCACCGGTTGGTGCGGAAGGTCTGACCGCCATTTCTGCTGCAAATGCCGAACATAAATCAGAACATATAGACGAGAAACACTTATAAGCCTCACGTGGACAGCTTTGAAATACTGGAAAACAGGGGGGATATCAGATGCTGAACTAGGCTGACTGCTATTATTCTAGTACAACTTGTTACCTGCAACGTTCATCATCGCAGCTGCCATTGTGGTGCTCTTGAAGCGTACTAACTCTGGAATAGCAAAAACAACTGGGGGAATCTAGACGAAACCCCAACGACTGGACAGGATCTTGGTCAGATTTCAATACGTAATATCGTCAAATTGGATGAGCGCTTAGAATAATAAGTCCTTCCACGAGCCCCTTATTCACAATAGCCAAGGAACGTAACGATCAAATAGCCTTGCGAAGTGACAACGTGTAAGCTCTCTGTATTTTACAAGTAGGCTACTACAAAACGCCGCAATATCCTTCGCTTTGCTCCTTGCTCACTTTGTCTTGACGCAAAGAACTGTCACTGACAATACTGTACTAATCGCCCTGGAGCTCTTTAACTAGAGTTTGTGATCGACACCCGCCGGAGTCTATTCAAACAAAAGCGTCAAATATCTCTGGTGCCTTTCAAGGAAAGCTCGAATTACAGACGGTTCCCTGAACTCAAGCTCCTAAAGTTCCTAAAATTGATGATGTTCCTGGAGCAAGTTTCTGGCTGAAAGCGTTTCTCCCTAGTTCCTGGAACCATGAATTCCCGAGGTACGAACAGTGCTGCCTGCTGACGTTCTGCTAACGGATAATCCCGATGCCTGGCAGTCGGAATATCCGAGCTGACGGTGGAGCACCTCGACTTGACGGCCTGTGTGCTTTTGACGGGAAGGCGCAACTTGATAGGCTGACGACAAGATGGATAACGAGGATGGCGACTGTCGCCAATGAGCTCGCATCCCCGCTCGCTTGGGTGAGGGTTCTCGAAGGCGCAGAAGATTGTCTCACGAGGGAACTGAGACTGTCCCTCGCTATTAGCACAAGTTCTTTTGCCTCCTGGAAGACGTGGCTTGAATCGTGACCACGTCACTTGCAGTACCCCCGCTGATGCCTGTGTACGGTTTGCCAAGCTGCCACGTGATCTAAGTGACAGGAAACCATCGGATGGCAGTGATCGCAACAAGAGTGGAAACTGAAACGCCTACAGTGCTAAAACAACCCAGCTGTAAATAACGATAACACAACCCTACACCAACACTTGAAAGCTTGCATATCAGCATAGTGGAGTGAACTAGCCTCTAGTAGATGCTCGCTGGAGCTCCGCCGGTTCGTCACCATCACTGCCACCAGTCTCTTTGGGAGAAGCTTTTGGCAAAGCCTCGCCATTTCTACCACCACTACTTGTTGGCCGCCTGCCTCCGCTGCTACTTGGCCGCTTCACCACTGGCAAAGGCCGCTCGAATCCAAACGGAATCCTACTGTCTGTGCTCCCACTAACACTACCACCAGAGTAATAATTTATGTTGCTGCTTGTAGCGCTGTATGTGCTTCCCACACCCGTGCTTCCAGCGCCATGGTTTCCACCTCCGCTACTCTCCCCGGCGCCAACACTATTCCTTCCCCCACTTCGTACACTACCATCGCTGGTTACGCTTTTGTTACGAAATCCACTTGCAGCTTTACCGGCAGCAGGACCACCAGAACCACCACTAGGGCCAGCAGAAGCAGCAGGAGCAGTGGCAGCATCAATAGCACGGCCATCAGCAGCACCACCACTGCCACTGCCGCCACCACCACTAGCACGGCTACCACCAACACCAAAACCACCACTACCGCCCTCACCACTGTCTCCGACAACAATTCCCCCTCCTCTACCGCCGCCGCCACCACCACCACCAGAACCACTCCCTTGCCCTCCTCTCAAACTCCCCCGCCCACCAAAACTCCCAGCCCCACCACTCCCACCGCTGCTCATACTCATACTCAAATTACTCCCCCTCAGGCTGCTATGCCGGCCGCGCTCCTGCTCGCTCATTCCCCGCTGCAGCACCCGCAGCGCCCCTCCAATGCTCCGACTGATCGAATTCCTCCTCGACCTAGGCGGGGTTGCCCCTCCCCCCGCCCCATCCCTCAGACTCCGCCCATCCCCTTCCCCGTCCCCCTCCCTGTCCCGCTCCCCGTCCCACTCCCCATCATCGTCGTCATCCCTCTCGATCCACACGTTCCGAAGCCTGTCTCTGCGCAACCCCAGCCCGGTGCGGCACTCACACGTGACAGCGTCGGATGGGCGGGTAGACATGACAGAGCCAGAGGAGACACTGGAGGACGAGCCTAGCATGGGAGGCGTTGTGGGGCGAGAAGAGGAGCCTAGAAGGAAAGGTAGAGAGGTTCTCAGGGGAGGGGTGGTGGGGCGGGAGGAGGGGGTGGTGGGCCGGGAAGAAGGGGTGGTGGGGCGAGAGGAGGAGGAGGGGGCAGTTGAGGGGCGAGGGCTTGACGAGGAGGTGTGTTGGGAAACAGGAAGTGGGGCGGACGGCGAGGCAGACAGAGGAGGGTTCATAGAAGCAGCAGCAGCAGCAGAAGCAGGAGCAGTTGCGGGACGAGTCTTGGGAGATTCAGACGAAGCAGACTGGCTGTCTTGGCCGATAGACCTGTCCAAAGAGAACGACACCTGAGCCGTCAGCTGTGGAACCACCTGTGCCTGCACGTCTCTCTCTGCCTCTGCATGTGCCTTCAGAGCCTGTGCTTGTGCTTTCAGGGCCTGAGCTTTCAAAGCATGTGCTTTCACAACCTCCGCCTGTGCTTGCATGGCTCGTGCTTTCAACGCCTGTGCTTTCACGGCCACTGCCTCTGCCTCTGCCTGTGCCTTCAGAGCGTCTGCCTCTGCTTGTGCTCGTGCCTGTGCTAGCAACCCCTCAGTGGTGACAAACGGCTCGTCACGCGTCTCCTTCCTTGCATTCAGCCGTTGCAAGCTGGCCACAGGCGCCGGGGACTTGGGAGTGGAATCGTAGATCACACAGGTGGGCGACAGGAGGGCGGGGGGGACGGGCGCGCGGAACATGGATGACACGCGGCTGTGGGAGGGCGGTATGATTGTAATGGAGGGCGTGGAGCGATGTGATTGGCCGAGAGGGCTCACAGGGCGGTTGGCATGGCTGCTGTCTGTGGTGTTGCTGTTGGCGGGGGTGCTAGGGCTGAGTCTAGAAAGGCCGTGGGGTGATGCTGGGCTGGATGAACCGTCCCTGATTGCACCTTCCCTGAATCCACCATCTCTGAACCCACTGGCCGCTGCTGGTGCAGCAGCTCCTGCTGCTCCTACTGATTCTGCTGTTTCTCCCCTATCCCCACTGCCGCTGCTGCTGCTCTCACCACCCAAACCAGCAGGCTGGGTATCAACAAAGCGCACATAAGCACGTGGCGATTTAGGCGGCCCATCCGGATACCCCCTGGGAGACCTCGGGTTGTCACCTCCCCCAGATAAATCCGCGCTATTAGCAGCTGAGCCCCGGAAAGGGGGACGCACAGGGGGCTGTGAGGGAGGTCGGGGCTTTAACGGGCTTTTAGGGGAGTCGAGAGCCTCAGGTGGTGGTGGTGTGTGAGGTGTGGCAGAGGGGGGAGGAGACAGAGAGGGAGTGGCTTCGACGAGTGAAGATATCTGGGAAGACGGTAGAGAGGAGGTGGAGAGCAGAGACTGAGCGAGGAGAGAGGGAGAGGGTAGAGCTGTGGTTTGGCCTGGGGTGGATGAATCAGCTGCTGCCGGTAGTGCAGGGAGGGGGCGGGGGGCTCTCTGATTCAAGTCAGATGACCTGAAGGGAGCAGCAGAAGAGCCAGCAACAGAAACAGATGCCGATGTGGGAAATCTGGTCCACGCAGAGTTAGCAGCAGCAGCAGCAGCAGAAGAAGCAGGAGAAGCCGACCTGGGAGCTGAAACAGACCCAGATTTCACCAGAAAGCTCGCAGCAGGCTCAGCAGCAGACGCCCCAGTGGGTGACAGCGGCACAGCACCCCTCGGCGACAGCTCCGGGGCCTTCCCCTTCTCCGTCACCTTCCCCACCTCTGTCGCCGGCTCAAACACCATAGGCAGCGGTGCGCCGTGCACGATCCCTGCAGCGGCTCGCTTGGGCTTGAAGATCCCCGAGATCATGACCGCGCGGGGCTTTTTGGAATCCGCGGACGTTTTGTCAAGCTTTTTCCGGGCCTCGGCAGCCATGGCTTCCATCTTGCGGGAGTTGAGCTGCGTGAGGTTGGAGGCGTCGGAGGCGACTAGGCGGGAGACTCCCTCCAGGGCGTCCAGGAGAGAGGCGTCGATCACTGCTTTTTGGGCGTGGAAGAGCGTCTGGGCGGAGGCAGCAGGAGGGCGGACGGCGGGGGGTGGGTGGTGGAGGGAGAGGGAGATAGGAGACCGGGAGGATTGGTTCTTTACGCTCAGGGGGAAAGAAATGACATGGTGAGGCGCTATCTTCTCACCTGCACTCTCAAAAGGCGTGTGGCCTTGCGGTTTGAAGACGGTTTCACAGTGATAGCATCGTTTCAAGCAATTGTGTGCTGCGCCAGCAGAGGCAGCAGACTCAACCTTGCATACAAGGCGCATCCAAAACTGTCTGTCTGCTCACCTGCACTCTCAACAAGCGCGTCGCCTTCCGATTTGACGAAGGTTTCACAGTAATAGCATCGTTCCAAGCGATCGTGTGCTGCGCCAGCAGAGGCAGCAGACTCAACGCCTTCCGCATCCGCCTCTCCCACTCCTCCATATCCTCATCCTCCTCATCCCCCTCCCCGCCCTTCCCCGCTCCTCCTTTCCCACCCAGACCACGCGGGTCATTCAACGGACTAGGCTTCTTCAACCAAGTAAACCCATCATCATCATCATCCTCATCCTCATCCTCGTCCCCATCCTTTCCATTCTCCCCTTTCTTGTCTGCGCCCTTGCGAGTTTGCGAGTCGCCGGATTCTTCTGTCTTAGCATCTTTGCTCTTGGAGGAGGTCACAGGTCGGGATAGCCGCAGAGCGAGGTCTTTCTTGGTGCTGTAGGTCAGGAGCCCGTACAGCTCGTCCCTGGGAAGAGGGAGGCATGGAATTTGGGAAAGGGGGGACCGGAGGAAGGGAGAAGCTGAGGCCGGGATGGCCGTAAGGCGAGGTCCTTCTTGGTGCTGCAGGTCAGCAGGCCATACAGCTCGTCCCTGGAGGGACGGAAATAGGAACAAGTGGGGAAGAAAGGAAAACCAACAAGCATGAGAAGCTGTGGTTTAGGAGGAGGCCATACGGCGGCTTGCCTTTAGGAGTGGGGAGAGAAGTGGGAGGGACTGAGTGGGAACATGACTTTTATGTACCCCAAGTTGCTACACGATCTGGCATCAGCCCTCAACTTGAGGAAGTGTCAAGCTAAGTGAGAATGCCAGATCGTGTAATAACTTGGTACATCTGCATGGACTGGAACCATGCCATCGGATTTGCATTTCATGATGAGGAAAAGATTCATGGTTGGAAGCACAGTCAGGGTGTGCAGAGAACTCCACAGTCAGGACCTACCATGGGAAAAAGGAAAATGGCAGTGCAAGGGGTTGGTGCAACATTGTTTCGCAATGCATGTTTTCGCTCATGCAAGAGTGCTCATTACAGTCACTCGGGCTGTATGCACTCTACCCATGTGGCTGTGAGCACCCACCATGTGCTGCCAGCAGCCATGAAGGGGTATTTTATGAGCTTCTTCGCCAGATTGATGACCTTGGCGTAGCCCAGCGCCGGGTGGTCCTTACAGCCACCCAGCCTGTATGCACTCAACCCATGTACATCACAAAGGCTATGGACGCACCTTGTACTCCCAGCAGCCATGAAGGGGTATTTCATGAGCTTCTCCGCCATGTTGACCTTGGCATGGCGCAGCGCCAGCCCACCGCCACTGTGCTTGCTAGTTACAATCACTCAGGCTGTATGCATGTACATTACCAAGCCTACCCGCACCCACCTTGTGCTGCCAGCAGCCATGAACGGATACTTCATGAGCTTCTCCGCCAGGTTGATGACCTTGGCATAGCGCAGCGCCAGCCCGGCGCGGCCCAGGGAGCCCTCGCGAGTCAATGCGTCGGAGGAGCGGGCGTTGATGGCAAAGACGGAGATGATTCTGTCCCTCAGCAGGATGATCGCCAGCACCAGCAGCTGATGAGGACGGGCGGGGTGGGATGAGGGAACTCATGTAGGATACAATTTTGCCTGGCAGCAGATTGACGACCTCGCTGTAGCGCAGTGCTAGACCAGCACGGTCGCGTTGATGGCAAAGACTGAGATGATTCTGTCCCTCAGCAGGATGATCGCGAGCACCAGCAGCTGGTGGGGATTGGGGCGGACGGGATGGTGGGATGCGGAATTACAAGATCAGAACGAGTGTATGACCTGCACGGCACGGTCGTGTTGATGGCAAAGAAGAGATGATTCTGTCCCTCAGCAGGATGATCGCCAGCACCAGCAGCTGGTGGGGGTGGGATGGGCAGATGGAGGGATGGGATGCATGCAGGATACAACTTTGTCTTGCACCAGATTGAGGGCCTTGGCCGAGTGCAGTGGTAGACCATCACAACTTTGCCTGGCAGCAGACCGATAATCCTGGCATAACGTGCATCCATTCATAGCTTGAGTAAATAGTCCAGCTCCACAGACCACAGGCAGCGGCTCTGCAGCTCTCATATGGTTGCCGTCTGCACCTTGAGCAAGGGGATGACGATTCTTGAGTCGACTCAAAAAAAGTCTCTACATTAGCGCGCACACAGACAGACTGCACTCACCCGCACGGCATGGTCCAGCTCAACAGACCACAGGCAGCGGCTCTGCAGCTCTGATATGGTCGCTGTCTGTGTGGGAAACAGCCAGAGGAAAAATGGGTGGAAAAAGGTGGGAAAGGGTGAAAAATGGGTTGAAAAGGGGTGTGGAGGTAAGTGAGGACTAACCACAGGCATTCAGAATGTGGATGAATGTAAACACAGCGACTTATAGACTACAATGAGCTCATGGCTCATGATACTGCACGGATAACTTTGTAACACGGTAACCGCACCAGTTTGAGGATCTCTTCTGCCCCTGGCAGGTCGCAGCGAGGCATCCACGAGGACGAGTCACCGTCCTTCTCCGCCTCCTCCTTGCCCTCTCCATCAGCGAGGGCGTCACTGTGGTGAATAAGAATGGGAAGGTGTGGTGGCAGGTGGGGAAGGGTGGGAGGAAGCGGGGATGGGGGTATGGGCTTTGGCTGGTTTGGTGGGAGGTTCTAACAGCCACGGGGAGGGATGAGTCGCCCTCCTTCTCTGCCTCCTCCTTCCCCTCGCCATCGCCCAGGGTAGGGCGTCGCTGTTGTGTGGTGGTGGGTTGGTGGGTACATTGGGGAAAAAGCTGGAGGAGGAGAGAAGCGATGTAGGAGGGAGGAGAGGGGGACAGAACAGCGACAGCACGGAGGGAGGGAGGAGGGACAGTGGGACTTCACATAGAGATACGCATCAAGATGCACCTAGTAACACAGATAGAAATACACAGGAAGGAACACACCCACTGAACGGGAAGAGGGGCACAGAGACGTACGCTGAGGCAGCTTGCAGCTCAGACAGAAGGCTTGTGGCTGGTGCAGGCTTCTTCTTTCTGAAAAGGAGTGAAGGGAATCGGGCAAGGGTGAAGCATGAGAAGAATAGGTAGTTCATGAAAGGGGCGACAAGGAATGGAAGGAAATGGTTGGAAAGCAAAACACGATAGCAATCGTTTCCTTTGTTGTTTATCAAGGCGATGGCGATTAGGTGCAGAGACCTCATGTTTAGGTTTAACACACCTCCTGTTTAGCCTCCCTCCCACCTACTCGCCTTGTTCAGGCATAGCACACATCCTCAGCCCATCATGAGCATTGTTACGTTTTTAGCATAGCGGCCATCTTTCACACCCATCCATCCATCTCACCTGAGCAGCGAGCGCAGAGTGTTGAGCCGCTCCATGCAGTTGCGCACGTCCCCCAGCTTCTCCACCTCCTCCTGCATGAAGCTGAATGGATACGGAAGGAGGGAGGGAGAGAGGAGGGTGTGGCGGACAGATCGTTACAGATATGGACACACAGGTGGCCACTGTCATTCAAACACCATGGAGCAGCGCACATCCCCCAGCTTCTCCACCTCCTCCTGCATGAAGCTGAACGCATGGCGAGGGGGTGGAGGAGGCGTTACAGAGATGGACACACAGGCGACCACTTGAAATTCGGACATGATGGAGCCACGCACCTCCTACAGCTTCTCCACCTCCTCCTGCATAAAGCTGCGAGGATGCGGAGGCGGCGGCACAGTGGTAGGGCCACGAGCACGGGTGGTTGTGTTGTGGTATGGTAATGAGCACATGTGAAAGAGTTCTGACCACCGAAACGCGTACGTAATAAGCGTCGACTCACCAGAAGAGCGTCTCCTGCTCGTGAGCGTCGAGTCTGAAGTGGGAGAAGAAGATTGCTTCAGCCTTCATGCCCCTCGTGGGCAACGAGCGACTCACCAGAAGAGCGTCTCCTGCTCGTGAGCGTCGAGTCTGAAGTGGGAGAAGAAGATTGCTTCAGCCTTCATGCCCCTCGTGGGCAACGAGCGACTCACCAGAAGAGCGTCTCCTGCTCGTGAGCGTCGAGTCTGAAGTGGGAGAAGAAGATTGCTTCAGCCTTCATGCCCCTCGTGGGCAACGAGCGACTCACCAGAAGAGCGTCTCCTGCTCGTGAGCGTCGAGTCTGAAGTGGGAGAAGAAGATTGCTTCAGCCTTCATGCCCCTCGTGGGCAACGAGCGACTCACCAGAAGAGCGTCTCCTGCTCGTGAGCGTCGAGTCTGAAGTGGGAGAAGAAGATTGCTTCAGCCTTCATGCCCCTCGTGGGCAACGAGCGACTCACCAGAAGAGCGTCTCCTGCTCGTGAGCGTCGAGTCTGAAGTGGGAGAAGAAGATTGCTTCAGCCTTCATGCCCCTCGTGGGCAACGAGCGACTCACCAGAAGAGCGTCTCCTGCTCGTGAGCGTCGAGTCTGAAGTGGGAGAAGACGGTTTCGGGGTGGCGCATCTCCCCGAACACGTTCGCCAGCTGGTGCAGCCGCCTCTCCCCGCACTTGAGCCCCATGGCTGCCACGCGCTCGCCCATCTTCTCCAGAACCTCCATCAGCTCCAAGCCTGTTGGGGTGAGGAACCATGAGTCACTTAAGAAGTACCTTATTCACCTCTCCCCGCACTTGAGCCCCATGGCTGCCACGCGCTCGCCCATCTTCTCCAGAACCTCCATCAGCTCCAAGCCTGTTGGGGTGAGGAACCATGAGTCACTTAAGAAGTACCTTATTCACCTCTCCCCGCACTTGAGCCCCGTGGCCGCCACGCGCTCGCCCATCTTCTCCAGAACCTCCATCAGCTCCAATCCTGTTGAGGAGAAGCGGTGATGGTTGGGGGAATGGGGGTCATTGAGCCGATAGGGTACTTTGGCCCATGGCTGCCACACGCTCGCCCATCTTCTCCAGCACTTCCAAAAGCTCCAACCCTGAAGGTAGTGTTTTAGGGCAATCAGGAATGATTGAAAAAATCTCTGACTCTAGCCAAACTTAAGGCCCATGCCCATCCTCTTCAGAACCTCCATCAGCTCCAACCAAGCCTGTTGGCACTTAGGGAGAGCGGGAATGGTACTTAGGGAATGGCATTCAGGGAGAACAAGGGTAGCTTTTAGGGGAACGGGAATGACATTTAAGGGGAAAGGGGTGGCAATTAGGGAGAATAGGAATGACATTGATGGGGAACGGCTGGGGCATGGCATTTGACGGGGGAAGAAATGGGCGGGGAGAAGGGAGAGAGGGGGGGGAAGTGAATTTTGGCGGAACGGAAGTCATGACGCAATGTAATGGTGATGGACAGGAACGCCTGGATGATTCCTGAACCGTACCTGCTAGAGTAGAGTCTACATGTGCGCAGGGTCAATGCAAACGGATATTTAAGGCGCCTAAAAAAGCGTCTCACTTTTTGAGGCACCTTATAAAACGCCCTGAATGACTCCTGAACCGTACCTGCTAGAGTCCACAGATGTGCGGGGTCAGGGCACACGTACGTGAGCACAGCCTTGTCCTCCTGGAGGGGGTGTGTTAGGGGCGTGCGGGGGAGGGGGGGGAGGGGGGGGAGGGGGGGGAGGGGAGAGAGGGGGAGGGGAGAGGTGGGGAGAGGGGGGAGATTTTTTTCAACATCACATCGAACGAACGTGAGCACAGCCTTGTCCTCCAAGAGCGGGTGTGTGACGGACGTGCGGGAAGTGGGGGAAGGGGAGTGGGGGGGAGGGGGAGGGAGAGGGGAGAGAGGGGGGAGAGGGGCGAAGGAGAGGAGAGGGGAGCCGGGAGAAAGAGCGGAGTGGGGTTGGTGGGGAGGGGGTTGAGGGGAAAGGATGACGATGCGTCGATGCCTTGGCATGGGGCAGCATGTGACAGCATTGAATGCGACTGACTAAGTGCATTTAAGGCCACTGGTGAGAAGATTGATACATGCACATGCAACACATGTGCGAGTTTTTTCACAAGCGCGTGCATGAACGAGTGCATTTGCAACGAATAAGGTTGACCATGCGTGCATCAAAGGACGCGTGAGTATTACCATCGACGCACGCGAATGCACTGGCGCGTTCGGAGCACTAGTCCCACACCCTTTCAAGTGTAACGATTACCATTATAGACCATGAATGCGCGTTCATCATAACGTAATCCCAGACAGAACGGATGAATAATTGAATCCATTCTCAACGAAATCCCCTTGGCGTACGTGCGAATGCGCGAAAATGCATGAATGGGTTCCATCCGCGAAGCAAGAAATCCGCTACGGCTGCATCCATTAGCCGTTCTGACAAATACCTCCGTTGCCTGACCCGTGTCTACGCGACCTGGCTACGCATACCTGGAGACTCGTTCGCAGCCGTTCGATCTGTTCAGGGCTGATCGTGGACCACAGCCATAGCAGCTTCCGCATGACGGCAGCAGCCTCGATCGACAGGAACTTGGCCTCTTCGACGCATCGATTAGGTTTCGTCGGGGGAAACCCCAGCTGGTCCTTCTTCGTCTTCTTCCGTCTGCCGATCGTTCCGGTGCCGCTCCGGCCGATGGTTCCGCCGCCGGTCAAGCTAAGCGATGCGGGAATGGTGTTATAGTACACTCTTTTCGCGAGCTCGAGAACTGGTTCTGGTAACCCGCCTGGTTTGTTTTCTTTGTCGTTGACGGCGTTCGTGACCGTTGACGATTTCATCAACGGGATCCCACCGAGGCCGAAGATTAAGCTGTGGTGATAAGCCATGGAAGCTGAATGCGAGTCGCAACGGAATAAATTATATTCCCTCGGTATCGCGATTCAGACTAGTCAGCTGCCGTTAACTTGCAGCGTGTATAACCTTACCAGAAAGACAGCTCCGTTATACAGCGTGCATCTCTACAAAACATAGAGGTAACCGTAAGGCTACGAGAAATTCTGCCATTTGAAGACCTAATGACGATGGCGGGTTGCCAGAGAGTCCCTGCGACACTCTGCTTTTCAGCCACGCAAGTAGCATTGACGTTCACACACGGTCACGCAGAACGTAAGAGTGAAACCACGAATTTCTTACATTAGCTACGTGTCCTGCCAGGGGAAAGCGAAGAGTGTGGGATTTTGGAATAGCTCATGGCTCATAGGATTTCTTTGTCAATGGTACAATCGCTTGGCAGTCTATGGAGAACACCGTGTCTGTCCGCCGGTCTGCTGTCTATCTGTCTGTGCTTCTGTTTCCCTGATACAAGGCTGAATGGTCCCTTGGTATTATCGAACACTACTCTACCTGTACAAACAGATAGATCTCCAGGATGGCAGCAAGATGTTGGACGGGTGACGGAGACGTTGACGGAACTGAGGAATGGCGGCAGCAAATGAGGTGTCTCGCGTGCTGCTTGAGAAAAGGTTGAGCTGCTTGATTGAGGCAAAAAATGGAAGGTGAGCCGAGCTGGAGGGCCGGTAAATGGAACGGCGAGGCAGCGGATTTGACTGTAGCGGAAATGTGCTATCTGCCCAGGGCAAATTGAAACTATTTGATTGGAAATTGGGTCTTTCGGCGAGGAAAAACAACTCTTGGTTGGTGTGCAGCAAACGAGAGAATTGGAAGTGACAGCGGCACCAACCAGGTAAGGTGCAACCACACCAGGCCAGCAGATTGGGGGAGTGATAGCGGCACAGTCAAAGAGCCAGCAAGGCGGAATCGAAGCCTGATGCAGTGCTGGACAGGCACACATTGTTTACATAGCAGTGTAGCATATTTAATTCTCTTTTTTTTTTACATAGCAGTGTAGCATATTTAATTCTCTTGCTGGTAGACACTTCAAAATTTCATGTCTCTACAAAATTGATAACGCCATATGCATTTGTTTCATTATTCCTTTGTATAAGCCATACTATCAGCAACATCGTCAATATCATGTCAAATCAATCAATTTCGTGTGAAAAGGAACGATCAGGTTACATATTATTGACCAGCCGTCGTTAATACATAAGAAAAACATTACTAGACGCCCTAGCGTATTTTTCCATGATAAGAGTATCTGACTTTCATTGTGACTACACTAATCACTCACCACACGGACCTCCCACACTCCCTCCACAAAACAAATCTGCGTGGATAACCTTTGCAGGAACGCCGGGAAGTAAGGGGGGAGCGGGGAAAAGCCATTCCATTTCAGCCGACGGCTAGCTGTTTCTTCAGATTTCACACCAGCAGAAGCACTGCTTCTCAAGCAGCGGCGACACCAGCAGCCATTTATTTCTCTTGCGAAACGGTTTTCTTTTCAGAACATCACCGACCGGCAATGCTGGAACGCTTGTACATATCTTGCTAGATCTCTCGCCCAGTTCTTCTCACTGAAGTTTGCTAATCTGTTTTCGTTTCCTGTGGATTCTGATTAGTTTCACCTGGAGGTTCGCCCTGCATTTTTTACATCTCCGTTGATGCAGCTGCTGCCATGTCGGGGGATCTGTTTTCGGAAATCGAACAGCTTGCTCCTCAATTTGCCGATGGGAAACTTGAATCCTTAGATCCACTGCAGCAAGTAATCTCTAATCTCCTATTAAAATCCAAGGACCGGACATGGCTGGAGAGCGACGCGGACGTCGCCGGCGGGATCGCCGTTACGCGATTGGTCAACCTTCTTCCTGATTTTTCTCGGCATTGTCCCGAGCTGTACGGTCTTCAACGATCCAGCGACGTATCTGGACCGTCGGCTGCTGACGGATGTCACGGATCTGCATCTTCAAGCTTCATCGACCGGCTTTCCACTGATTGGTCTTTTTCCGCAGATCCAGATCTACATGAAGCGTCAGCATCACCATCAACGGCTACTATTGCTGCATCTGAGATTGCCGATGCTCGAGGATCAAGCGGTGTCGCTTCCGCACAACCCGCAATCCGACCGTTGGTGCAAGTCCTTCGAGTTATTCGGAATCTGCTCGCTGGCCTCGCCACGAATCAAAACGCGTTTCTACAATGCGGTGCTCTGGACGCTGTAGCTACTATTGCGGACCGGCTTATATCAAGTCACATCGTCCTTCAAACCCCGCTGCCAGGCGCCGTTCTTTCAAATCCCGCGAATGCCTCTGCAGCATCATCTTCCGCGGATCAACCAGCGTCGGGATCTAGCGCTTCACACAACGGCGAAGACTCGAGCCAAGTTGCTTCCCAACTTGCAAGGCTCAAAGTGGGTAGCGGAGCTGCTTCAGGCGCAGCGTCTTCCGCTGACGGCCTTTCGTCTTCAAAACCCGCATCTGCTTCCGCTTCCGCTTCCGCCTCCGCGTCCAGTTCCTCTTCCGCGCCTTCCGCGCGCATGCTCAACCGTCCCCCCGCTTTAGCCACTTCTGCGGGGGGAGCTAACGCAGCCCAACGGCGGAAACGGTCCATCAACAGAAAGGGCACCGGAACTCTCTCTCTGCCCCTCCTCTCCCCGTCCGCCGCGTCGTTCGGCGCTCTCCCGGGCGCCGCCTCCCCTGCGGGCGGCGCCGCAGCTCTCGCGCAAGGGTCGCCGATGGCGGGGGGAGGATCGGGTAACCCGATGACTCCCATGTCGCCGATGTTCTACTCGTCGCTGCTTCCGCCTGCGTCGCCGTCCGTGCTGCACCTGGCGCTGCAGATCGACCTGCCGCCAGACCACGTGGATGCCTTGAAGGCCGTGCTCCAGGTGAGCGCCTGTGCTTTTCGACGCTTTTCTCTACCCTCGTACCACCCGCCTCAACTTCCACTCTCGCTTTCCCCACTCCCTCCCCTCCCCGGCCCCCGTGGTCCTTCCCCTTCCTCCCCCTCTCTTAACTTCTCTTAAGGTTGATGCATGTTATGGGGTGATTCCGTCTCGGTTTTGTTTTTTTTCTTCTTGATCGTTGTTGCGATGCATCTGACTAAAGCGGCTGGCTCGTCTCATGCCACGCACGCCTATACGCGGATGCGACATTGAATATAAGTGGAACCATTGGCACGAACGGGTGCTTTTTTATCCGTGCACCTGACTTCTTTGACTAAGGGGCCTCACATCCACCGTCCTCGTCGACCAATGCGTTTCTTCTCAGCAATTGCCCCACTTCTGCCTCCGTTCCCTTTTCTCACCGATGTCCTCTCCTCATCCGACCGCCCCTAATTTGTCCTCGCCTGAACCCCCCCTCCTCTCCCTTTTTCCCGTCTCCCCTCCCCCCCTCCCTTCCCCCTGTTCCCCCACCCTTCGTCCGCCACATCCCCGTCCGCAGGTCATCGGCAACTTCGCCAACGCGGGCGAGCTCCACCAAACCGCAGTGTGGGACCGCTGCTTCGCCGGCACCTTCTCCCGCCTCGCTACTGTGCGCTCGCCCGCGGTGCAGCGCCCGCTCTGCATGGTGCTCTTCACGTGCTGCCGCGCCGTGCCCAAGCACGTCGACGGGCTGGGGGGATCGATGGACGGGGTCGCGCTGCTGGCGGGCGCGCTCAGGGCGCAGGGGGAGGCGCTCGTTGCGCGCGCGGATGGGCGGGACGGCAGCACCGGCGGGGATGTCTTTTCAGGTATGCGTTGTCCTGTGCTGTGGACCATTTCTCCCATCCTCCTCCGCACGGCTCTTCACTACTGACCAACAGCCCCCGCCCTCCCCCTTTCCCGCCCTCCCCCCCCCCCCTCCCCTCGTTCCCCCTTGTTTTTTCCTCTTTATGCTCCTGTTACGTCCAAACCCTTGCTTTTGCTTGTCCCTGTTACTGCGCTCCCATCTTGTTACGCTCTGTGTTCGTACTGATCCAGGGCCCGTTTTGTGTACTCATTACCTCACTCCTCCTTACTGTCTTCCCGTCCGTGCCCCTGTCCGCCCCTCTTGCGCAGCTCTCCCGGACGCTGCCTCCAACGGAATGGACGAGTGGCTGGGTCTGCTGGTGGAGAGGCTCTGCCTGCGTGCGCGCTACTTCGAGCCAGTCTTCAAGAACCTTCCCAACTTCTCGCCGCGCCCTGCCCTAGGGCAGGTCCGAGGACTTTTCTGCCCAGAACAAGCCGCGCTGCTCTGGGTTCTATGGGGCTCTCTTCACGCCACTGCAAAAGCGCGGGGCATCCCAGGCATCGACCTGCCTTCTGCTTCTAACGAGGATGATGGGAACTCAAAGGGCGATGAGACATCAAGCAATGAGACGTCAAAGAAGGCTGCAGCACCTGGGTCGAGGTGGCAGGTGCATGGCTTGCCTGACATTGGTCCGGGAACTCTCAAGTTCCTCCTCACAGCATGCAGAAACGCTGCGGCGGGTCTGGGCAAGGCACGGGAGGAATCAGGCAGCAAGGCGCTCACCTCCTCTTCCACCTCCTTCACGTGTCTGCAGCTGGTGCTCTGCTTCTCCCTCCGCTGCCTCCGCGTTCTCGCTGCCCAAGAGCCCTCCACCACCTCCCATCCAGCTCCCACTGCTCAGGACTCCTCATCCACATCCCCACCCGATGCTGCTGACGCCACATCTGGAGCTGCCTCAGCATCAGCAGGACAGACCTCAGATCCGAAATCAGGGGCTGAGGATGCATTTGTTGCGATCGGAGGGTCTGAAATTGTTCCTCTGCTGCTGGATCTCCTCCAGCGGTTAAGTATGCCCCGGGGTTCAAGTGATCAAGAGAAGGAGGAAGCATATCCTGGACATCGATGTGACTTGGTGTCGGTGCTTGCAAACGCATGTCACCACCGACCAGCGTATCAAGATGCTGTCAGAATGTATAAATGTACAGGGGGGGAAACAGCCGGGGATATATCTGGTCTTGTGCTGGTTCTGCGACAGATAATGGCAGAGTCTGGTGGTGGTAGTGGTGGGGGCATGAGAGATTGGTTGGGGTATGCTGTGAGGTGTCTGGTGGAAGGGAATGAGAGCAACAGGAACGAGCTGGCAGCAGCAGTGCAATCAGGGGCAGTTTCTCAAGAGATGTTGGAAGCTGCTGGTGTGAAGTGCTAGGCTTGGATATGGCCTGTGAAGTCTAATTAACCAGAAATTTTCTGTATTTATCAGGCAGTTCCCTGGTTATTAGAGTTTGTCTTATGGGAAAGATGGAAATATGCTACCACTTGAATATAGAGCCTACAAAAGACCGGCCATGATGAAATGAGTAATCGACCATTCCATAGGGGGTACTGATCAGACCAAAAAGTCGGTCCGAATCGCACCCTGCAGTATTGAATTCGGCTCAGCAGCATGTCAGCAATAGTCGCCCCACATCAACTTTAAAATAGGACTGGTATCTATCGACCCCCTCCGTCTCCCCTTTCCGTCCCCCACCATCCTCTCCGTCCGCGCCCAGTGGCACGGGCGAGCCTCCCTCTCCCGTCTCTCACCATGCCGTACGTTCCTCCTCATCGCCGAGCCGCCGCGAACAGCTCCGCAGCCGAACCTGCTGTTCCGTCGGCGACAGCGCCAAACCTAGGTTATCGAAGCTCGGGAGTAGGCTTGGAAAATAGGTTCGGGGGAAGAGGCCGAGGCAGAGGTCGTTCCTACCAGGCAGGAGGCCGAGACAATGAACCCGTTATAAAGAAAATATCGATAAGGAGCCCTCCTGATGCTGTTAGCTGCACCCTAGTTGACGATTTCGCCGAGCGAAACTCGTCTATAACAGGAGGACCTTGCAGCGGCGAATGTGCTTGTAACGGGGGCCAGTCTCGGTGTAACCGGATGGTTCTCAGATTTCAGCAGTTTCACAATAGTTCTCAACAGCGCGACTGGGATCAAAATCTCGCTATCCTAGCACGAGTTCCAGAAACCGAGCGTGACAATATCGAACCAGCAGCAGATGCTGCATCCTCTTACTCCCTATCAAATCACTCCTCTGATCAGCCATCTGATTCGCCATCTGATTCCCGGTCCTCTAATCCACCCAGCTCCTCGTCACCACTCTCCACCGCTCCTACTACCTCCTTATCCGACAACCTAGTAGGTCTCCTCGCCAGGGCACTAGAGGCCGCTCACAGAGACATACAGGTCGTCCCAGAGCTTGGGAGGAGAAGGACGAGGGTGGTGGAACGGTGCAAGCTCATGGTCAAGCTGGGGAAGCTGCTGCTATCCCCGTCTTGGAAGTCTTCAGTACCCGTGTGAGTCCTTGGATGTCAATAGTCTTTTCCCCTTAGGTACCTTGATGTGAAAGGACAAGGGTGGAGGAGCGGTTCAAGGTGATGTTGAAACTGGGGAATCTGCTGCTGACACCGCCTTACAAGTACGCAGTGCTTGTGTGAGTGGCGTCACTCACACACGCAATCCTTGATGTGAAAATTCCCCTTCCTCAGGTCCCTCAATTTCAGTGCCCCCCGCCCTCTGCGACCCTGTTTCCTTCCTATTCTTCTCATGGAAAAGAGGATGCGCCCTTCTTTCCCATCCCATTCTCCATGCTTTCTTCCCATCAGCTCCCTCTCCAGCCCTCCCTTCCTTCACAGCAGGTGTGTTTGAGTCGCACGGCAACAGGCACGCACACTGTCCCCCCCCCCCCCCTCCTTGTCCTTAATCTTAATTCCCCCTTCACCCCAACCCCATTCCCCATCCCTCCAATCAGCTCCCGCCCCAGCCTCCCTTCCTTCACAGCAGGTGTGTTTGAGTCGCACGGCAACAGGCACGCGCTCTGCCACCCATTGCCTCTCCTCCACTGCCCCCCCCCCTCCCTCCTTGTCCTCATTTTCAATCCCCCCTTCACCCCAACCCCATTCCCCATCCGTCCCTTCCATCAGATCCCTCCCCGGCCTCCCTCCCTTCACAGCAGGCGCGTTTGAGTCACACGTCAACAGACTCACTTCCCGCCTTCCCGTACCTGTTTTCCGCTCATACGACACGGGCCTGCCAGAGACCCTCTTTGCTGCAGTGCAAGCGTTGGCAACAGAGAGTGGTGCTGTGAATATGCGATACAAGGAGCGATCGCGCTATCACATCTGGGTAATGGCTAGGTAGAGTGTGTTTTTTTAGTCAACTCAAAATCTTTGTGGATTTGAGATGTTAAACTAAACCCTCGTTTAAAGTGGTGCTGTGAAATTTTTCTGCAGCACCCTCGTTTTCCTGACACAGTAAACTGAGATGAAATTCGGGACTGCATTGATTCTTAAGTGCCTTCTTTTTTCTTCTGCCCTTTGTCTGTAACAGATAGCAGATACCGAGCTGGAAATCGAGTACAAACTAATCTGTGTTCCGAACCCTGACAACTCTGGAATTATCCTCACTAAGGTGTGCCTCAATAATATGCTTGCTTCCCTATAGTGATGTCATGTCATACCAGTCTTGAGCCTCCGTTTTGTTGTTATCTAATGCCCTTATCTCAACCAACTACATGGTTAACCCTTTGTGATTATTTTCCATGCTTCTCCGATTTTTGTGAGCTAAATAGTTTCCCCTTTTTCCCACGGTGCTCTGCCTTGGTACAACCACCAGGTGAAGGCAGAGCACCAGGTGAAGGCAGAGCACCAGGCGAAGGCAGAGCACCAGGTGAAGGCAGAGCACCAGGTGAAGGCAGAGCACCAGGTGAAGGCAGAGCACCAGGTGAAGGCAGAGCACCAGGTGAAGGCAGAGCACCAGGTGAAGGCAGAGCACCAGGTGAAGGCAGAGCACCAGGTGAAGGCAGAGCACCAGGCGAAGGCAGAGCACCAGGCGAAGCACAGCTCGCTGCGCTATGCTGTCATTGACGTTGCTCGACCCCCTGGTGCCACTGATTTCCGCCTCACACTCTTCCTGTGTGCACTCCTCCCCGTTCCTTGCACCCCAACAGGTGAAGCACAGCTCGCTGCGCTATGCTGTCATTGACGTTGCTCGACCCCCTGGTGCCACTGATTTCCGCCTCACGCTCTTCCTGTGTGCACTCCTCCCCGTTCCTTGCACCCCAACAGGTGAAGCACAGCTCGCTGCGCTATGCTGTCATTGACGTTGCTCGACCCCCTGGTGCCACTGATTTCCGCCTCACGCTCTTCCTGTGTGCACTCCTCCCCGTTCCTTGCACCCCAACAGGTGAAGCACAGCTCGCTGCGCTATGCTGTCATTGACGTTGCTCGACCCCCTGGTGCCACTGATTTCCGCCTCCTGCTCTTCCCGTGTGCACTCCCGTTCCTTGCACCCCAACAGGTGAAGCACAACTCGCTGCGCTATGCAGTCGTCGACATTGCTCGCCCCGTCAAGTCCATTGACTTCCGCCTGCTGTTGCTCAAAGAATCAAGGCTCTGCTCTCTCGATGTGCGTATTTGCTGCCGAGTGAACTGGGGTTATTGATTTCCGTGAACTTTGCATGTGACGTGCCTGCTTTACCTCCCTCTCTTTCCTTACATCCCTTTCTCTCCCCAAGTGTTTTTCTCTGCTCACATCCCTCTTTCCCACATCCATCTTCACAACCCACCCTCCCTTTCCCCTCTCCCGATCCTTTCTCCCTCCCCCTCCCATCAATCAGTATGCCACTCGATCTGCCTGTGAGCTCATAGCATCCACAGCAGTCATTGCCAGGAGTTGCCAGGAGTGCAAGAGGGGCCCTGCTCTGGCCACACACCACACCACCCTCCTCCTCAGACTTCTTCCCTCTAACCTTCCCCTTCCTCTTTTCACCCACCCTCAGGATGCCACTCGGTCCGCCTGTGAGCTCATATCATCCACAGCAGTCATCGACACGAGTGCAAGAGGGGGGCTGCTCTGGCCAGACACCACCCCTGGCTTCGATACCACCCTTCTCTCCTCCTCGTCATCATCATCAGCAGCACCACCACCAGCAGCAGCGGCAGCCACAGCAACACCCACTACCCCACCTAATCCGTCGTCACAGTCAGTCCAACCGTCGCCATCCACTCGCTTCAGAGTCATGGGCTGTTGGCATCTGGACAAGTCCCGGGCGGAGTCGGGCGGACGGTTGTGGAAGCTGGCTCGGATCAACGGGCTGGTGGCGGGGCAGGTTGGGAGCAGCTTGAAGCACCAGATTGACCTTTGCCCCTTGGCATGGCGAGAAACAACCAAGGTGGGATGGTTGAACGGTTATGCATGGTGCACTTGCCTGGTTTTGAGGTCTAATGCGGTGCAGCATGGTGGAAGCTGGCTCGCATCAGCAGGTTGGAAGCAGCCTGAAGCACCAGATTGACCTGTGCCCCGTGGCATGGCGGGGAACAACCAAGGTGAGGTGCAGTTCTGCAGTGGTGCCAAACAGGTTGGGAGCAGCTTGAAGCACCAGGACGATCTTCGCCCTGTGCTATGGCGAGAGACAACCAAGGTGGGATGTGTTGGAAGAGAGTCTGTTCTAAAGCTCTCAGGCTGTAAGGCCCTTCATACTCTCAGCACAAAGCCACTGGGCTGGTAACTGTTACTCGTCTTTTGATGCCAATGAGTTTCCTGGTGTTCTTTTTTTCCCTCCCTCTTGACGTTTGCTTGTGTTGTTGAGTGCAGGGCCATGAAGCCCCAAGCAACAGCATGAGTAGTTCACCCGCAACCTACTCGGCGACATCTTGCTTCGACTCGAGCTTGCAGCAGGCTGCACCACAGTGGACACCAGACAGCATTCTTGCTGATTGCCCCGCCCTCATACACTGGCTGCAGCAACACCTGCCTTAAATTTTGGTGGATGCGGGATTGTGTCAATGCGTATGTTTGATGTATCTGATGTTTGTTTCACGGTTTAATCTCTTGGGTTGTAAATAATGCACGTGAGTGACCCTGTGCGTGCTGCTCATTGTTGCCCTCCAAAGGCTGAGCATGGTGCAAGGGATTAGCTCTTGCATTTTACTGAATCATAGCAAGCTTCATACAGTAGCGGGTCCGGGTCCAATGTTATCGGCGAGATGACCTCGAGGTGACTTCTTGCCTTCCAATCAAAAGCATTGCCGCCAAACCTTGCAGCCTTGGGCCCGTCACCCTTCCCCACCGCGCGATACTGCGTTCAGCTTCATCCGCTTCCTCATCCCATCATCAAACTGTCTTGTGAGTAAACTTGTTCCGTCAACTGCTGCTGCAACATCTTCCCACCCGTAAACTCGTCCCGTGAACTTGTCCCATGATCTGGTCACCCCGTGTCGTCGCGTCTCGTTGGCGACTCGTCCCATCAACTGTCTAAAAAAACTCGTCCCGTCAACTCATTTTGCGAACATGTTCAACCGACACCACAGCAATGGCCGCACTTCGATCCTTTTCGTCCACAACTGTCGCTCTCGGCACAGCAGTTTATATTCCACTGCAATTTTTTCAGGCGATTCTCATTCACGAGGTCGAATCCCAATTACGATTTTCGCAAATTTGTTGATTTGATACTACGCTCCAGCCATGCCGTACGTTCCTCCCCATATGCGAGCCGGTGCAACGATTTCTGGATCCGAACCTCCTCCAGGGAGGTCGCCTGCAGCTTCGAGTCGAGGCCATGCAGGCTCGGAAAATAGGTCTGGGAGAGAGCGAGGCAGAGGCCGTGGTCAGGCGGGTGGCCGAGGCAGAATCTCCGTAAGAAATGCTCCCGATGCTGCACGGGCTACACTAATTGACGATTATACTGATCGAGAATCATCCGTTATTGGAACATCTTGCAGCAGCAACTGTGCCTGTAACGGGGGAAATGGTCGTTGCAACCGCATGCTCCTCAGATTCCGACCGTTCAAAGGGAGGAGCTACGTGCATCTACAGGATCAGAACCTCTCCCTTCTGTTCAAAGTTCCAGATTCCGACATCGAGCATATCGAATCACCTGATATTGAAACCACCAAGTCGCCTGGACATTCTCCTTCTTCTGAATCCTCTGCAACGGTCCCCCCCTCTATAGTTTCTCATTCAGATGCCTCCGCCTCCGTAGGTTCACCTTCCGCCTCCCTTCCTCCCCCAATCGCAACCCCGACATCCGTACTCGACGCCATAGCCGAGCCGCTTCGCGCGGGGTTGGAGGCGGTGCACAGGGATATGCAGTCTGCCGGCCAGTCGGAGCTAAGGCGGTCCAATGTGGACCGATGCAAGCTCGTCGTGCGGCTGGGGAAGCTGCTGTTTGGGCCGCCGTTCGGATCGCCAGAGTGAGTTTTAAGGTGGGAGGGGGAGGTGGGGGGATGGGGGGGTGGGGAAGCGCGGAGGGGTGGGAGGGATTGGAGGGTGCTCCAGTCGCTGGAAATGGGTGCATCTCCCCCCCCCCCTCTGCTGTTCGGGCCACCGTTCGGATCGTCAGAGTAAGTTGGGGATTGAGACAAAGGGGAAGACAAGGGAATGATGCCTTGTGCGGGGAAGTGTGAGAGGGGTGGATGGAAGCTTGTTGTGCAACTGGGGAAGCCTACTCGCCTGTATGTCCCTCCACCATTCGACATCCCCACCCCCCCATGTCTCCCCTAATGCTGTCCGCACCTCTTTGCACCTCTCTGCACCTCACTTCACCAGGGATCTCCTCCCCAGCCTGCCGCCCTTCACAGCGGGTGCACTGGAGTCGGTCTTTAACCGCCTGCCAGGCAGCACCTCCCTGCCAGGCAGCACCTCCCTGCAGGTGCAGCGCCTGCCAGCCAAGATGCACCGGTCGCTGGAAACAGGCATGCCTGAGCCGCTATTTCAAGCTGTGGAGAGCATTGCCATGGCGGGGGACGGGGCGAGCACATGCATGAGAGAGACATACCACATCCGGGTACGTGTCATGTGCCAGCCATGCCACATAGGTACTCTGTATTTGACAGGTCAGCAGCTAGGGACAGTCAGCAAAGGAGAGGAAACTTATGATTTTCAGGATTTCAATAAGACGTAGTTAAATGATCGTATCCTTGGAATCTTACCCACGCACTTGGCTTTGCCTTTGTCTGCACCTTTTGTTCCCCATACTGCTGATCCGTTACAGGTTACAGACACAGACTCGAAGGAGACCGACTACAGGCTGACATGCAAGCCTAATCCAGATGGCTCAGGGGTTATCCTCGTTAAGGTGTGCTTCTTTCTTGGTGTGCTTCCTGCTCATGTGACGATGGCGTCCGTCATGTGTGCTTATATGTTTATTACCTCCGCATAAGCCTCCTCTTTACGCGTTCTTATCACTTTCTCTCGTAACCTCCTTACAGGTTTCGTTTCAATCACTTTCTCGTTTTCATGAACCACTGAACAGGGACCTAATATTGTTTGAAATACAATTGAAATGTAAGGAACATGAATGTTTGTGTTTTTAATCATTTTATGTTTGTGTTGTGTTATGATTTTTTTCCTAGAGCGCTGTTTTTCTATTTCACCCAAACCTGAGCCTTCCCCTCCTCCTTCCACTCATCCGCTGCTGCACTGCATTGCATGGCACCCCTCTTCAGGTGAAGCACAATGCGCTGCGCTACGCAGTCATTGACGTATCTCGCCCCTCCAAGGAAATTGATTTCCGCCTCATGCTCTCTACTGAGACTCGATGTGCGTCTGCCACATATTTGTGTGCTTGTGCTGACACGTTTGCTTGTGACACGTGCTTTCAGAACATGTTCTTTTTGCCACATGTACCTCTGTCCACTTTTCTCATTTCAGTCTCTCTCATTCCCAATCCATAATTCTCTAATTTCCTGTCCCCTTTCTTTAAGCAACTCAGGAAATTCTGGCTCCCTCATTCCCTGCCAAATTTGTTTCCTTCCCCTCCCCTTTTCCCGTCCCTTCCCCTTCACACGCAGGAGGCCACTCGATCCGTGTGTGAGAGCATAGCATCGACAGCAATCATTGAGGACACCAGAAAGGGCGGCCTGCACTGGCCTGTCGCCGTTGACTTCCACGTCGGCATGACGGATGATCCGTCACACCAGTTCCAAGTGACAAGCGTGCGGCATCAGAAGCGGCTGCGCGTGCAGTCAGGCGGGCAGGTGTGGAAGCTGTCGCGAGTGAACGGGGTTGATTATGACCATGGGGGAGGGCGCCTCACCAATGAAGCAGAGTTCTCCCTGCTGGCCTGGCGAGATGCTATGAAGGTTAGTGAGACGCTGATGTGATCCTGAGTGTGCATGCGAGTGCATGCATGTGCGTGTTTGCGTGCATGCGTGTGCGTGTTTGCGTGCATGCGTGTGCGTGTTTGCGTGCATGCGTCGTGTTTGCATGCATGTGTGTGCTTTAGAGGGTGCTGTCAGGCGGGCAGGTGCTTACGGGGAGGATTACAACCCCTGGGTGGCTGCTGGCCTGTCGAGACGTCATGAAGGTGCGACAACAAGACGTCTATTTACATAGTAAAAGGCGGTTCACTAACGAGTGGGATGTTGCCTGCTGCTGTGGGAACACAGGAAAAGGCGCACTGGTTTTGTTACTCAACGGGAATGAGATGTATTTGCTGTCCCCCTATCAGTTCCTCTTTCTGTTTTTGTTTCCCTTGGTCGGTGTCATACCCGCTGCAACTGTGCAGGCAAAACAGGAGGCAAGTGACAGCACAGCCACGTCTTCGTCTCCTTCCTCGCTACCCAGCAAGCCCCTGCCTACAAGCTACTCAGCAGCATCTTGCTTTGACTCGAGCTTACAGCAGGCAGCACCACAGTGGACTCCAGACAGTATTCTTGCTGATTGCCCCGCCCTCATACACTGGCTGCAGGAGCACATGCCGTAGAGTTGGCAATGAACTTGCACAAATGTGGTATTGAGAAAGCTTGCTTTCTGTTCCTTGTAATTTGGCATCGTTCTCATTGCAACTGGGTGGAGGGAAATGAACTCCAACCCACGGTTTTTGTAGTTGGAGAAGGGCGTTTAGCGCGCTTCGACGCTGCCAAATATTCGGTACAGGCAGCTTCGCTTTCACAATACACAATTTTGAAAAACACGAATGTGTTTAAAAATTATAATAATTCCTCAGCATTCAATTTTTTCCTTAGGTGGGTTTGTGGTATGTAGCTGAGCTGAATAAGGTGCACGCAGCAACATTCTTTTCTTCTTTTCAAGCATGTTACTGTCAACTCGTCGCGTGGTTATATCTACCGTACCTTACATTTGAGTGTCGTGCGCTAGAACAAAACAAAACTAGACTCGACCGTATTGCCGAAGCCAAATGACAGCGTATTGAGTTAGGACAATGCCATTTTTATGACCTCTGTACACAGTTACATAGCATCCTTCAAATGTGCGTATACACATCCAGTGTGCTCGCTCTAACGGGGATCAAAACAACCGCTAACTCCTTGCAACTTACAGCAACCTTCCAAGCCGCTCCCTGCTAGTAAGTAACTCCCCTCCTCCCACCGCCAACTATCAAGCCGTCTCAGCTTCATATCGCTCGCTTCGCTGCCCACTTGGCTAGTCAAGGTCGTGCTGTTAGAGCAAGAGGCGTCGCGTCAAGCACTGCTTAGAAAACCCTAGACTGGCAGTCTGTTTTTCCTCCTCACACACGAGAGGTTGCAGCCGGCTCGGCCGGTCGCTCCGTACCGTACATGGACATGAGGCAAGGCAAGGTGAAGGCCAGGCTGCTGCACACGACGACCTTTCCATCACCCGCCTCCTCCACACGCTTGCGCGTCACGCCAGCATCGTTGACCTCGCGAGGGCATAAGCTATCCTTGCGTCCGAGCTTCGAACAGCTCCAACCGTCCGTACACGAATGGCAGTCAAGGATAGGTCAAGGATGCGAGGTCAAGGATGCGAGGTAACTTCGAGGTGTGTTTTGCGGAGCTCGCTGTATCCTCGCGTGCGAGCTTCCAACAGCTTTAACCGTCCGTCCGTACACGAACTGCGGGACCGATGTTGCGTTATTTCATAAGCGGGAATCTCGAGGTACTAGAAATGCCTCGCCCGAGACCAGAAAAGCTACAAGGTCGATAAGCAGTCGCTGCTGACAGATGGCATCCCGGCAAATGGAGGCTCGTTCCCTTTTGAGAATCCTCACAAATGAAGATCAGGCGCGCCATGCCGTACGGAGCCGTACGCGCTACAGTCCGATTCGTTTCTCAACGTGGAACTGCTTCACGCTGATCTTGTTCGTGCCTTTATTCACGACACGTGGCAATGCAATCAGCACGCCCGGTTTCTCGGTAGTGACCGGAGATTTTACCTTGTCCAATGATAAATTTTTGCGAGAAAGGATCAATCTTGGGTTTCCGACTGGTGATCCTACTACAACGCGCCTTGATAAGCTCTCGAGAGAATTTTTTAGTAAGGATGTCGCGGGCAAGAGGACAAGTGGTGGGTCGCTAGTGGTCAGACCTCCCAAAGTTCCCACGCCTGAAGGACGCAACGGCGAGAGTCGGCGAAAGCTGCTTTCCGCCAGCGACTGGTTACCCGGAGCATCTCGGCGGAAACGAGGCACTCATTTCGCATCAGCGGGTGATTTGCGAAATGCGATCGACAGCAAGCGTCTCGAGATCGTCGATCTCAACCCTAATCCGCCTCCGAACGTTCTTTCACGAAAGGGCCGGCGAAAGCTGGGAGCTGTAACCAGCAGGCGAAAATATGCGACGTGCGCCAAGGCCCTCCGCTGCCCGGAATTCCGGATGTGCGAGGACGCGGGTTTCGAGGATATTTCCGTCTGCCATAACCCGGATTACAAGGATCTAGCCCCGCGAATCGCGGCGAACGGCACAACGGCTAAGCCCCGGGGAAACGACGAATATGGGGGAGTGGAGGAGGAGGAAGAAGACGAAGAGGAGGAGGAAGGGGGAGAAGACGAAGAAGGGGAGGGAGAGGAGGAAGGGGGAGGCGGGCGAGGAGGGGACGGGGGGAAAGGGGGTGGTGGTCCCGGCATGGTGTGGTCGGGGCGGGTGTTTGCGCTGCACGACGTGTATGTGAACAACAAGGGGCAGGTGTTTAACTCCACGCACGTCTTTAATCCCAACGGCTGCTACGCCGAAGACACGGTGTGTGTGGGTGGTTGGAAAAAGGGGGGATTGAGGAAAGGGGGGGTGGGGATGGAGGGCTGGAGGGGGAGGAGCCGGGGGCATGCGCGTCTCCTCCTTCAACTCACGTATGAACCTGCTGACCTGCTGGTCACTGGGGGCACTCGTGGGGTTGTAGGAGACAGGCACGCACGCGCGACTCTTCCTCTCACTCGCTGGTCATCTGGGGCACGCCTGGGGCACGCCTGGGGTGCGCCTGCCCTGCCCTTCCACGACTCCTGTGTGAATGTGCGATGCGGGTCATTGGAGGCGCCGCCACCCACCCCATCTTCACACCACCCTCTCCCCTCTCCCCTCTTTCCACAGTTCCACTACGAGGCAAGCACGCGCGTGTCCGCCTACAACTCGCTGGTCAACCTGCTGGTCGTTGGGGGCACGCCCGGCCCCCGTCTGCCCTTCCACGAGGTCCTGGAGCTCGTGCCGCTCTTCCTGCCGCTCTCCCGCGTGCTCAAGAAGCACGGCAAGCCCGCCCTCGTCATGCGCGGCAAGAAGGTAGTGTGCTGTGCTCGCATTCAGATGGATTGATTGAGGTGCATGGGAAATGGAGTGCCCATGCTCGAGCTATCAAACCCAAGCCTCAGCTATCAAACCCATGCCCGAGCTTTCGGTCCCATGTTTGTGCAAGCTACCCCCAGTGTTCCCATTGAGTCCTCATGCGTGCTATTCGTTCCATGCCCTCTGAATGTCGTGTTCTGTATAACATGAGCTGATTGTCCTCGTACCATGCATATGCATGGGCTGTGATGGCACAGCCTGGCACGTGCTTGTGTGGCATGTCTGCAACATTGCTAATATGTCATTTTCCATGTGGGATGTGGCATTTCGTGTGGCACGTGGCGTGGCATGTGTGGCGTGGCATGTGTGACGTGGCATGTGTGACGTGGCATGTGTGACGTGGCATGTGTGACGTGGCATGTGTGACGTGGCATGTGTGACGTGGCACGTGTGACGTGGCATGTGCTGTCCTTTGCAGCTGCCTCGAGTGGTGGGCATCACCATGAATCGCATGCTCTCCTTTGGGGATGCCTCTCGCCTCCTCTTCGTGCGAACACTCATCCAGGTCCGTCCAAACACTCACGCAGGTGTGTCCGTCCTTCTAAGCATTGCTGAACACTACGCTTCCAAGCACATGCCCACACGCCCCACTCACCCATCCAAACGTCTCTTCCCTCATCCCGCGCCCCTCCTCCCCTCCCCATCTCCCTCCCTTGCCACCTCGTTTCCCAACACTGCCAGCATCCCAGCTGCACCATGAATAGAAGCCTTTCCGTTTTCCCGCACACCCTTTTCCCACTTTCTAGCCCACTTTCCACCACTGCCAGCACCCCAGCCCCTCCCTGTCATCCAAACTCTCACGTTTGAGCTGCCAAAAGCAAATGTGCCCTCAGCTCAGCAAATGTCACCCATCTCACACCCCTCCCTCCCTCTTCTCCCTCCACCCCCCTCCCGCAGCCCACGTTTCAGCACTGCCAGCACCCCAGCCCTTCCCTGTGGACCAAGCTCCGCTCCTCCCACTTTCTACAACCCCACCGCCTGCCACTCCTCAACCCCGATTGGTCCGAGCGCCTTCCCTCCACCTCCCCCAAGGCCCTCTCTCCCCCTGCCGCCCTCCCCCCCTGGGAGACAAGTGGGGTGAAAGAGGTGATAGTTCTCGAGCCACCAGCAACAGTCCAGGTGAAGGGATTCGCAGGGATGGTTGAGGGGCTGAAGGGGAGGTTTGGTGCCGAGCATGTGAGGCTAGTGGGGAGGTTTCAAAGAGATGACGCCAAAGAGTTGTTTCCCCGGGCGGCGCTGCTCGTCAGCATCTCGAGCCCGTTTCTCGTCAACCTCGCGTTCCTGCCGCCCCGCGCCGCGCTGTTGGAGCTCCGCCCGCCGCCCGCTGAGGTGGACGCAGTGATTGCTGACTCAGTCGCCAGGCTGGCAGCGGCTTGCCAGATCCATCACCGCGTGATTCGAGGAAGCTTCGTGGAAGGAGCAGCAGCTGATGGTGCGGGGAAAGGGAAAGGGGCCGAGGAGGGTACGGGGAAGGGTGCGGTGGAGTGGAGGAGCGGGGCTGTAGAGGCAGCAGCGATGTTTCTGGCTCGAGTGGTGGGGAAAGCATTAACAGCCGATGAGAAAGTAGTAGAGGAGGCAGCTCTGACGGCTGCCGACCAGCGAATGAGAGCCGCACAGCTGGCGCAGGCCTCCACCAGTAAGAAGCCGCTCATTCCCGGCACGCAGATCCAATCTCTGCAGTCCGCCGCCCAGTTTCGGCGCTGGCTGCGGTGCGTGAGTCAGCGGGGGCGGTGGGAATACAACGCAACGCCGCGTATCCTCCCTTGGGAGTACCTCGGTACAATGAACCTGTGTGATCACCGGCACAAGGGGACCACCGGGGGACTCGTGACAAAAAAAGCCGACAAGTACGCGATTGAGGGCGGCGCGCCGGACGGCTGGAGCGTGCGCGAGTCGCTCAAATACGAGTGGAGAACGCCGCTTGGGAAGTGCCCGATCGGGCCGCTGAGGCAGCTCGACGGGGATATGTTTTGCCGGAAAGTGGAGGCGAGGAAAGGTGGGCTGAATGTGCTGTTCCTGGGGGATTCCCTGGCGCATCAGATGGTTGTTAGCTTCCTGAACGGCCTTCTGAGACACATTCCCAAGCCTGCGGTGTGGGCTGTCAATGAAACAATTCCCCGGGAGTGCTCTGATTGGCTGGTGGATCCGCCGAGGCATGCCTACTGCCGAGTGTACACTTTCAATGAGAGCTTTTGTCCCGGGCTTACGGTGCAATTCGTGAGGAATGACCACCTGTGGTTTACTTCGCCTGGAGAAGCGAAGTTTGACCACATTCCATGGCATCTGTATTCTGGGTTGAGAGATGCTGACGTGGTGGTGGTGAATCGAGGTGCGCATTTCATAGGAGGGAAGGATTTTGAGAGGAGTGTGCCGGCCGCTTTGGGATTTCTTCGAAAGAAGCTGCCCGACGCGCTGATTGTCTGGAGAAATACCCCTCCCGGGCATGCCAACTGCACGTCTTACATCCGGCCGATAAAAAAGCGGCAGAATCCGGAAATTCTGCCGTTCCATTGGGACATGTTTACCCATCAGAACGAAATGGTTCGGACAATGATTCATGATGTGGGAGCAGTGTACATGGATGTGGATACTGCGACAGCATTGAGACCGGATTCGCACAAGGGCTTGGTGGAAGAAAGGGGGATTCTAGACTGTCTCCATTATTGCACGCCTGGTCCGACGGATATGTGGGTGGAGCTCCTTGGCGATATAATATTGCGTGGAGTGTATGGGGATGGCCTTGTTCCTGTAAGAGTGACGTAAAATGAGACGTTTCTGTTGTTTAGAACGGGTACGCAGTAGCCAGCACTGCTGACGTCGCCTTTTTCTGTGAAGTCGCGACAGCTTCGGGTGAGCTGAGCAGCAGACGCACTGTGCATCGCTACAGTGGCTGGTCGGTGCGCTTCAGTCCACGCTCGTCCACCAACTTCATGAACCCAAATCCAATCACACTGTACGGGCAGCTTCTACTGACCGACCTTCTCCAACAACAGCCAGCCGCGGCTTTCCTACTTCCCCAGAAAGGCCATTTCGGGCAGCACAGCAGCACCCAGCTATGGCAACCAACAAAGGCCCCCGTGCCACAAACCTGTGCAAACAGGGTGAATCGACGATCAGGATTCCCTGGATGTGAGACCTGAGTGGCTGAAACCTTATCCCAGCCGTGCCTGTGTGTCACACCTCGAATCATTTCAGGCAGCCCCTGTTCTCCAGTGGCAGGCAGTGACGCAGCCGCTTTCTGGCGGGTTGTGGCCAGGGTCGGTGGTTCTGGTTGCTCAAGGTGGAGCTCAGGGAATGTGTGCGTGGGTAGTTGGTTCGGTACCAGATATTCACATCGACGGTTGACCGACGCTCTGGTACAGCATAGAAGTTCGAATTTTGAATCGTACGGTAAATAATCCCTGATGGTGTTTCCCCTACTGCTCGCGCTAACCACCTCCTCCAGAACTACCTCCGAAATGCAAACCTTGCGTTTCACCCATCATTCCTGCTCGTACGCCTTTTCGCTCCAGTTCTGCTGCATTTTCGCTTGAGCTGTTGCTCTAGCTCTCTGTCCTTGTCTGTCGCGCATGTTTGTCGGTTGGTTGGTTCGAGCCGTCGGCAGCATCGGATGCATATCAAGTTGCCTAGTGGCTGTTGAACTGTCTGATTTTTCGAGTTGAAATAGTAGCAAATCGTCGATTATCGTCCGAGAATTCCGTCGATTGTCGAAATAGTAGCAAACCGAGTCCGAGTCGGGCTCGCAGGACGACGTTCTACCTTAGTAATTCGAATTAAGGAGTCTTCGTTGCGGAAATAATTTGTTAGCTTTCGCGAATATCTTCGTTTTTATCGCATTAATATCGTCGTTCCTGACACATTTTCGGGAGACCAACGTCGGAAAGTTCTTGCGGTCTTGCGCAAACGTTTTCGAGAGAGATTCGGGTTCAACCCGAAGTAGCTTATGATCAGCTTCTATGGAGGACGAGGTGAAGCTTAGTAGCGCATTCCATGGCGGATCAGACATGGATTTCGACGTCATGTCTTCGAGAAACCCTGACGGAGACTTATGGGGGATTGGCGACTTTCAGATAGGTAGCGTCGGTGACGGAACGGTTTCATCCATCGAAGGAGCGTACGATGCGCTTATAAGAGACTTCACGATGCCTACTAGTACTTGTAACGCTCCCAATGTCGGCGCCTTTGCACCTGCTGGGACGTCAGCATGTGGTTCTACTACCGGCGCCGTCACGGTCAGTAATAATAACGTTAGCGGTAACGTCCAGCCGTCAAGTGCCAGCGATGCATGGAGGAATGAGCAGGCTGTGGTGGCAAATGAAGAGGCGAGGCATGATGCCATCATGGTCTCTGGGTCAATGGGAGGAGCACAGAGGTTGCACTTTCAACAGCAGCCGCAGCAGCAGCAGCAGCAGCAGCAGCAAGGGGTGAAGCAGCAGCAGGGGGGAGGGGGAGAGGAGAACGATCAGCAGGGGGTGCAGTGGGGAGGGTATCGGCCTGAACTGAGTCATGCTCCTCCTGAACCTGGCCGGGTCGCTTCTAACCTTCATGATCCCTCAATCCCCCCACACCAGTCTTTTCAACAGCCGCATCAGCAGCAGCAGCAGCAGCAGCAGCAGGTACATCAGCACGACTTGTTGGAAAAGCCGCAGAGTGTGGGGGGAGAGGGTCTCATGCAAGCGGCTGTGGGTAACAAGCGGCAGAGGGAGGGGGAGCAGCGACAGACGCCATGTGTTGTGACTGGGTGGCAGCAGCAGCCGGTGCAGGACAAGTTGTCGGTACGGGCGACAGGGGAAACGGCTTTACCAGGGACTTTTATGTGCCGAAGCTTCAGCGAAGGTGGGGTGAAGAGACCTGGGCAACATCAGCAGCACCAACTGCAACACCAGCACCCCCACCAGCAGCACCACCGACTGCAGCAGCAGCAGCAGGACCCCTTGTTGCGTCACCGCCGGCAGCAGTCCTTTCCTCTGCCGTCCCGTGGCAGCGCGGAGACAGAGAACGCCACGTCATCATGGACGTCATCAGGGGCTGTGAGCGAGGGGCGGCGGGTGGGGCAGAGGAAGGGGCGCTTCTCGGGAGGCATGGGCATGGGCTTGGGCATGGGCATGGGCGGTCTGGGGGGCATGTCACATCAGGGCATGTCACATGAAGGCATGTCACATCAGGGCATGTCACATGAAGGCATGTCACATCAGGGCATGTCACATCAGGGCATGTCACATCAAGGCATGTCACATCAAGGCATGTCACATCAAGGCATGTCAAATCAGGGCATGTCACATGAAGGCATGTCACATCCAACCGTGGATGTTTCCGCTGTGCCGCATCAGCATCAGCATCAGCATCAGCATCAGAATCAGCATCAGCAACAACAGCCGCACCAGCAAACTCAAATGCACCAGCAGCAGCAGCAGCAGGAGCACCAACAGCAACAACAACCGCACCAGCTTCAGCAGATTCGAATGCAGCAGCAGCAGCAGCAGAAGCAGCAGAAGCAGCAGAAGCAGCAGCAGCAGCAGCACCCTCGCGCATTCTTATCCCCCCCTACCCCTTCCATCGCCCACTCTCACTCCTCCCCTGCCGCCATGCCACTCCGTCTCCCCCACCTCCCCTCTTCATCACCCCTCATGCCCCAACCTCCCCCCCCCACCTCCCCTCTCCCTCTCCCCCCCAGTCACCACTCCCTCGCTGCTAACACCCTCAATATAGTCACAGGCAATTCAGACCCTCCCCCTGCCTCTTCCGCTGCCCCCTCCCCCTTTCCTTCCGCCACTCCCATGGCTGCTCCTTCCGCCACTCCCATGGCTGCTCCTTCCGCTGCCCACCTTCCCCCTTCGGAAATCCCCCCTGCCGCTCCCCCCATCCCTTCCGCTCCACGAACTTCCCCTTCCGCTCCCCCCATTTCCCCCTCCGCGCTCCTAGGCGCGCTCTCCTCCCTCCAGTCAAAAATATCCGCGTTACAAGTGCTGGTTCCGCTAGTGGCACAATCCGCCCCGTCAGAGGCGCTGCAGCAGCAACAGGAGGTGGCAGCAGTGGGGGTGGCGACGGTGATACAGCAGGTGGCGGCGGCAGCAGTGGGGTTGCTGCCTCCGCACCTGCAGCAGCAGCTTGTGGTGCCGGATATTGCCGGAGTGGTTTACCGGGGGAGGGGGGGTGCTTCAGAGGCGCCTGGGAATGCGCAGCAGCAGCAACAGTATCAGTATCCGCAGCAGCAACAGCAGCAGCAGCAGCAGCAGAAACAGCAGAAACAGCAGCAACATGAAGGACAGCAAGAGCAGTATCAATATCAGCAAGGAAATCCGTATCAGCAGCAGCAGCAGGAACGACAACAGCAACAACAACAACAACAGCAACAGCAACAGGAACAGCAGTATCATTATCAGCATCAGAATCCATATCAGCAGCAACAGCAACAGAATCAAAATGATCAGCAGCAGCAGCAACAGCAACAGCAACAGCAGGAGGCGGGCCTTACAGACAACACCAACCAGCAAGAGCAGCAGCAGCAGCAGCAGCAGCAGCAATGCGATCTGGTGCCTCAGATTGAGTTGCTGCGAAGGTTACTGGAAGCGCGCAACCAGCAGCTGCAAGCACCCCAGGCGAACGAAATAGAGGGTGGGACGAACGTGGCAGGCCCGGGAGGCTCGGGAGAGATGGAGAGGGCAGGCTCGGGTGCTCTGCCTGTTCTTGAGTCGACCCCAAACGTGCAGAGGGCAAGCGTTAGGGAGGATCGCGGTGGGGAAAGGGAAGGACAGGTGAACTGCAGCACGGTGTACGACGAAGGATTGCGGTGGGGTGCGGTGCTGGTAGGTGCGGATGGGACTTTGGAGGAAAGGAGAAGGGAGGGGGAAGGCGGGCATGGGAGTGGGGGTGAGATGTTGGCATGGGGTGGTGGTGACGTCATGCGTGGTGTAGTGAAGGAGGAAGTGCAGGGTATGGATGACGTCAGCATGGGTGGCGGTGACGACATCGAGGGGACGCCCATGCCGTTGCATGGAACCTATTATGGGGCACCTGATGGGGCACCTGACGTGACACCTGGTGGGGCACCTGATGGTGCTGCATATGATGGTGGTGCAATGGCATGTCAAGCGGTTGTTGTTCCAACGGCTTCACATGGTAACCGCATGGTATCAAGTGGTAACACCAGATCATCACATGATAACGCCATGGCATCTCAGGTTAGTGGCATGCCGCCCAGTGTCAGCATGGGCGGCGCAAGCAGCAGTCAGGGCGGCAGCAGTGGTGTGGGCGGCAGCGTTCTGGGCGGCAGCGGAATGTGCGACAGCGTTTTGGGCGGCGGCAGTGTTTTGGGTGGCAGCGGCGGCATGGGTGTGAGGAGAGGCAGGATACGGGGGAGTAGAGGAGGGAATGGGGGAGGGGGGAGGAAGGGGGGCGGCGGAGGAGGGAGAGGAGGAGGGAGGGGGGGGACAAGAGGGGGAAGAATATTACCTGAAGCAAGGAGGGAAGAGGAAGAGAGTGAGGGGCAAGTGGTAAGACGATCAAAACTTGGAATTTCAGTGAAGGCTGAGAGTCAACTGGGTGGTGGGAGTGGGGAGGATGAAGAGGAGGAGGAGGAGGACGAGGAGGAAGAGGGGGGGAGGAGCAGTGAAGGGGTGACACGTGGCGAGTTTGAATTGGTGGAGCTGCAGGTTGACGAGCTTCTAGCAGAGCACACTCTCTTCTGTGAGGTGCGTTGCTGTTCTCTTCGCTCATAGTAGTAAGAGGATCTGAGAGCAATAAGGGCTGCAGTGTGTGTGATAGAGGATCTCAGAAACGCTTTGCCAGAGCTGCAGGTCGACGAGCTTCTGGCAGAGCACACTCCCTTCTGTGAGGTGCGTTCTCTTCGCTCATATTAGATAATTTCAAGGTGGGGGGTTTTGAGGTGCCTGTTTTCGCTCATAGCAGAGCAGAGGGGCTGCAGGTGGGCGAGCTTCTTCTAGCAGAGCACACTCCCTTCTGTGAGGTGCGCTCCTGTTGTTCGTCCCTTACAGTACAATCGCTGCTGCGTGGGTAACAGAGAGTCTCAAAAGCACTTGGCCAGAGCTGCAGGTGGTCGAGCTTCTGCCAGAACACACTCTGTTCTGTGAGGTGCACTCCTGTTTCATCGATGGGGTTTGTTCGAATTTGTTCTGATGTGGTTTGTTATGTTGTCCTGAACGCACTTTCCTACTGAGTGGATGGGAATAACGCCTCTGTAGCCCGAGCATGCTATTGCACCCCATCTCCCCCATCCCTCACCCTCACCTTCCACCTCAAACCTCCCACCTCCCACCTCCTACCTCCCATCTCCCATCTCTCATGCCGCGCCGCCCCCACCACGTGTGTGGGAAGGGCTTTAAGCGCGACGCCAACCTCCGCATGCACATGCGCGGCCATGCTATCCCCCCTCTCATCCCCCATCTCTCATCCCCCATCTCTCATCCCTCATCTCTCATCCCTCATCTCTCATCCCCCATCTCCCATCCCCCATCTCTCATCCCTCATCTCTCATCTCCCATCTACCACCTTCCTCCTTCCCACCAGGTGTGTGGGAAGGGCTTTAAGCGAGACGCCAACCTCCGCATGCACATGCGCGGCCACGGCGATGCCTACAAGGGTGCCACCTCCCTCTCCCGCCCCGCGCTCTCCGCCGACCGCTCCGCCGCCCATCCTCAACGCTACAGCTGCCCGGAACCCGGATGCAAGCGCAACCAGCAGCACGCGGATTTCCAGCCTCTGAAAACGATTCTGTGTGTGAAGAATCACTACAGGAGGACGCACTGTGCGAAGCAGTACACGTGCAGCCGGTGCGGTGTGAAGCAGTTTGCCGTGCTGGCTGATCTGCGCACCCATGAGAAGCACTGCGGCCGGTCCTCCTGGAAATGCTCCTGCGGCTCGTCCTTCAGGTGGGTTCAGGTGGAGTCAGGTGGGCTCGGGTGGGTTCATGTCGTTTCAGGTGGGTTCAGGTGGGTTCGAGTGAGCTCATGTGGGTTCATGTTGGTTCATGTGAGTTCAGTGCATTTTCTTAGCCCCTCAAGCAAGCAGAGATTGTTGTATAAGGTGGCCCGAGAATTTCTGGGTGATTTTTATAAAAATGTTTGTGACCCCCCATCCCATCATACCCCAAGTCATCACCCTCCCTGCATCCCTACACCCCCTACACTCCTTCCCGCTCCCCTCTCCTCCTACTATCCACTGCTGCAGTGCCAAGCTCCTGAGGCACCTCTCTCACTGCTGCAGTGCCAAGCTCCTGAGGCACCTCTCTCACTGCTGCAGTGCCAAGCTCCTGAGGCACCTCTCTCACTTCCCCACCAACCACCATCTCAACCCGCCCGCCCTTGCACTTGCCTACCTCTATCCACAGCTACTGGACCACCTCTCTCTTTTCACCGCCCACCACGCCGTCGCTGCCCGCCCATCAGACCTGGAATCAACTCAAACCCCAAACCCTTCCCCTTCTTCCCTGTCGCCCTCTCCTGCACTGCACCTCCCCCCCTCTCCCCCTGTCTGCACTCGCAAGGACAAGTTGCTGGGCCACCTGTCTCACTTCACCGGCCATCACGCCATTGCTGCCGCTCCTTCACCTCTTGAATCAGCTCAAAACCCTCTACTTGTCAATCCCCCTCCCCCACCCCTTCCCGCCCCTTCTCCCCTCCCTGTCTGCAGTCGCAAGGACAAGCTACTGGGGCACCTCTCTCACTTCACCGGCCATCACGCCGTCGCTGCCGGCCCAATCAACTCTTCGAGTAAACTCAAAGACCCTCTCCCCACCCATCCTCCCTCTGCCCTTCCCCATCCCATCCCCCAATATTCACAGTCGCAAGGACAAGCTACTGGGGCACCTCTCTCACTTCACCGGCCATCACGCAGTTGCTGCCACTCTTTGACCTCTTAAGTCAGCTCAAACCCTCAACCTATCAACCCCCCTTCCCTTCCCCTCTCCTCTCCCCTTCTTTTTCACAGTCGCAAGGACAAGCTACTGGGGCACCTCTCTCACTTCACAGGCCATCATGCCGTCGCTGCCGGCCCCTCTGACCTCCCACTGCCCGCCCTCCCTTCCCCCGCTGCCTCCACGCCTGCTGCTGCTGTCGACGCTGCCGTCGCCGCTGCCTCTGCTGCTGTTTCCGGTGCTGCTGCTGGAGATACTGCTGGCGGCAGTGGTGGTGGTGGCAGTAGCAGTGCTGCCTTTGGTAGTTACTATGAGGGGAACAGTGGGGTTGCCATGGGATTGGCTGGAGGTGGGGGAAGGATAGGTGTTGACGCCAGCAGGAGCAGCAGTGTGGTAGCAGGAACTAACATGGCGGCCGGTGGTTCTCCTGCTGCTCCCTCTACAATCACTGCTCCCTCTGCAATCACATCTGACAGTCACTGCCCATGACAGCTGGTTTTGCCTCTCTAACATGTTCCTCTTCATTCTCCAACGTAACCTGCTCTGGTACTCTCTGGAGTGAACGGACGCATTGCAGGGTGTAGTGAGGGGAAAATGGACTGGTATTCTGAGGCGTATGCCGAAGGTTATCGGCATGCGTGCAATAAATGTATTCAAACGGAATCACAACCAATGTATTTGGATGGGCATATTTTTATCTTGGTAGTACCAAGAGGCATTGGTATACTCATCATCATACATATGTACATTGCAAGGTGCTGCAGAAGGCCTGATTGATTATTATTGCAGTATTTGTTAAATATTTATTAGTAAATACGCCATATCTAATAAGACGAAGCCTAGGAATTTCGGACCACCTGTGAAGGTGTACTTCAGCCTGAAATGTAGCAGTTGTAGATGGAAGGTGGGTGCACCTTCTCCAGAATGACGTTCAGGTGGATTCCACATGGAGGACAACTCAGGTGAGGATGCAGTCACCACATTCGTCCATTTGGTCAAATACTCGAACAGAACCACGTCATTCCACCAACCCGGACTCGGACCACCAGCTTGCCAAGTTAGCGAAAGGTTACTCGCATGACTACGACGAATTTATCCAGCAAAGTTTGCATCGGTTACGATCGTCAATCTCGCTGACCAATGCTCTCAGTCCAGACCATGACCCTTAGTCTAGTGCTTGTCAGGTACGTTCCCTTCAGAGGGACCCAAGAACTCCTGACCTGATCCCACCTGTAACAGCAGCGACGCGTCCCTTCTATGCTCCCATTTTGTCGTTTCTCCGCCCGCGACTTCTCGCTCTCTAATTTCCCTCTGCGAAAATCACCGCACATACAGTAGCTCAACGGTTGACCAATGACCAACAACCCACAGGTGCGTCATGCAGGGTGAGACCAATGTCGCAAATTCACTCTTCACCCGAGATGCGAAGCAATGCGACGAGGAACGTCGCAGGAGCCCAACAACCATCACCTCCCTCCCATACCTCAGTTTCCGTCCAGCTAGCTAACCTCCCATACCCCACCACAACACTCTTTCACGCACAGAGCTTACTGATTCTCCAGTTCCTGATTTTCACATTGCTCATAACGAAACCTGCATTTAGGGTTTGCTTCAGTTTACATTCTAGTTTCTTCGACTTTCCAGTTTAGCTCCCAGCCATGGCTCGCTACGCCGTCGTCGCCTTCGCTCTCCTCGCCCTCTTCGCCGTGTGCCACGCGCGGCCCGCGCCGATCGACGACGATATCACCGACAACACCGTTGTCCCCAATCTCAAGGGGCTCTCCCGGGAGAAGATTCAGGAGCTCGCGTTGACAGATCTGGCCGCATGGGACGAGGAGGACAACGGCGTGAGTGCCGCTGAGGCCGACAAGATTGTGGTCGATGAGGATAACACCGTCGCTGCCACTGACGACGCCGCTGACGATTCCGACAATACCGTGGCTGCTTCTAGCGAGGATGTCGTCGATTCCGACAACTCCGTCGTCGCGTCGTCCGTGGACGTCGCCGATGACGACAACACCGTGGCTGTTGCCGAGCCTGCTGACTCGGACAACACCGTGGCTGTTGTGGCTGCCGAGCCTGAGGACGACGTTGTTGCCGTGATGCCAGAGGACAACGTTGCTACCGCTTCCGCCGCCAAGTCGACCGACATGGGTATCGCCATGGTTGTGTAAAAATGTATATCTGCATGTTTTATTATTTTCGTTGATTTGTACGAAATGTTTTGCGCCTGTACTGTATTAAACAAGTAGACGTATACTAAGGGTCCTTCGTTCCTTCCAAAGTTTTTTCTAGCTGTGCTGAAGCACCTGGTTGGTGTTCATTGCTCATTGCCCTTTCGTGCTAGTTCGTGTGCACCTCACGAAGGATGAACATGAACACGTGTTAGAACTACGACGGCTGGTAATTGAGCGCGTACAACCGTCCAATCCACTACGCTGAAATGTGCAGTCGGAACTTTCACACATCCCCTCTATGTAGCAGCAGAATCCCTCTTTGAGGTGAATATGCGAGAGCTAAAGCATAGATCATGGACGGTGTAAACAATCATTTGTATTCATTAGCAGCAACCTATCATTAGTGTAAACTTGGCAGGTGTGTAAACAGCACACAGCTCTTATTCCTACCAAATAGAAAACAGCTACAGTATAATCCAGTTCATCAAGAGCAAGTCACTGGGAGACATGCTTGCAGGAAAAACAGTGCTGGCAAAGCATCTTGCACAACCAGTGGATTCACGGCAATCTCCAACCAATCACATCTCGAAGCAATCACGCCAATCCAGAAGCGATGACCCCGCCATATGCGATAGCCCTTATCATGCGAGGTGAATCAACAGCTGAAGAGCCTGCCAATGGCGTGACACACACGATTGTGATGGGTGGATACATAAATGAGACACAGCCGGGCGAGGGGGCGGAGGGTGGTGAAGGGAGGGGAGGCAAGGAGAGAGGGAGGAGGGTGAGGGGGTGTGGTGGAGGGAAGCAAGAGGAGAGAGTTTCCAGGAGCCATAACTGCATTGCAATGGTGGGCGTGCTGTGCGTTCACAATGTTTCAACAAGTGTGGGATGATGGTGCACGGCACCAGAAGTTGATCTTCTTTTCCTCCTCAACTTAGCACTCTCCCCCTTCTCTCCTTCCCACCCTCTCACTTCTCGTTCCGTCACTCTCCCTTCATCCCCTTTCACCTTCTGTACCTCTCACCTTCCTTCTTACCTCTCCCCTCTCCCCCTCTCACCTTCCCTCCTACCTCTCCCCTCTTCCCACCAATCACTTCCCCTAACCCCTTTTCCTCTCTACCATCACCTTTGCTCGCCCGCGCTCAGGGCCTGCCCGCGCCACAGCCGTGAATAGCAATCCAATCATCCTCTCCCTCTACAGCCTTGCCATTCCCTCGCACATCCCTCTTCCCTCACCTCCCTTCGCACACTCACCTTCGCTCGCCCTCGCTCCGAGCCTGTCCGAGCCACGGCCGTCAGCAGCTTCCCAATCTTCTTCTCCCTGATCGCCTTCCTGTGCCCCCCGCCATTACTATCCCACAGAACCACCAGAATCGCTGTCGCCTCCTCCTTCCCCTTATCCGACCCTCTCTCCAGCGCCCTTGCCAGTGCACCCACCCCTTCTGCCTGCACCACCGCCTCTCTCCCCTCCGGCCTCGTTACAAGCTGCCTCATTGTAGCGAGAGCCTTGTCTGCTAGCCGGTGGCCGGGTGCGCGCGTTATAATGTGGATTAACGCGCGGTGAGTGCCGGAGAGAAGGAGGGTTGATTTGTTGGAGGTCAGGTGGGAGAGGTTGAGGAGAGTGAGTAGGGCGTCTTCTTTGGCTCGGTCTGAGTTTGCCGGACAAGCTGAGGGCTGCCGCTGCGGCTTTTCGTCTAGTAGGATGGAGACGAGGAGTGGGATTGCGCCGGCTGCGCCGATGTCCAGCCGGGCGGCGTCGCACGTGGAAAGGACGAAGAGAGCCGCGATCGCCGCGTCCCGGACGGCGGTAGGGGCGGCACGAAGGATGTGGACAAGGATTGGGGCGGCACCGAGATCGGTGATTAGATTGCAGTTGATTGGATCTAAAGTGAGATTTACTAGAGCAAAAGTAGCAGTCTCTGCTAAAACCCAGTTGGTATGAGCGGAGTTGAAAGAAGGGGAGGTGGAAAGAGGGGGAGCAGTGCCGGAAGAGAGGGAGCGGGAGGGGGTGGTGCCGGCATGTGGAGTTTGTGGGTGGTGCAGTGCGGGAAAGCCGGGGTGTGTTGCTGAGAGGTGCCTGGGAGTAGCATTGGCAGCAGCAGCAGCAGCAGCAGCAGACGCAGCAGACCCATACCCAGCAGGGTACGGCGATGGGAACGAGTGAGACACAGCCAACGAGGGTGTTCGAGAGGGGGAAGGTGCTCGCATGGATCCTGCTCGCTCTGAAAAGGGAGTGGGGGGGATGCCGTAGCCAGGCGCAGAGGAGGAGTAGCGGATGGGCGGGTGCGAGGGGGATGGGGCCACCCAGGGGTGTGCTGTGAGGGGTAGGCCAGGCATGGCAGGGGAGGGGGGAGGGTACGGATAGCTTGTGGCAGCAGAAGCAGAGTGAGGAAGACCAGCAGCGGAAGCGGAGTAAGGAAGACCGGCAGCAGAAGCAGAGTAAGGAAGACCGGCAGCAGCAGCGCCAGGGGGAAGAGGGAGTGGATCCCCCATGCCTACTCCTCCCAGACCCTCCTGCTTCTCCTGTTTATCCTGGCTCTGCAGCAGTACCGCCTCCACGCCCACAGGCAGCCCGGCAGCAGCAGCCACACAGTCAAGCAGCGGCCGCAGCACCCCTGCCTGCCTCAAGTGCTCCCGAGCGTCTTCGTCTCCTCGTGCCACCTCCCTGATGCGCGCTGCTGCGTGCAGCCGCGCAGGCTCGGAGCCCTGAAGCATCCGAACCAGCTCGGCAGGCTCGGCGGGGTGGAGGAAGATGGCAGGGAGGGGGTTCTTGGGGGGAGGGGGTGGGAGGGAGGAGGAACGGCAAGGCTCTTTCTTCTTGCTTCTATGGCTGCTGTCCCTCTCCATCTCCTCCCTTTCCTTCTCCCTCTCTTTCTCCCTTTCCCTTTCCCCCTCATTCTCATTTTCTCTCTCCCTGCCCCTCGCCCTGTCTCTTCCTATTCCACGCTCCGACGCCCTTTCATCAAAGGCTGGAGGAATGGCACTCGCCTTTTCAGCCCCCTGCCTCTCTCGTGATTTCTCTTTCTCCTCCTTCCTCTCCCGCTTTTCCTTCTCCTTCTTTTTCTCCTCTCCCTTCTTCTTGCTCTTCTCACTGACCTTCCTCTCCTCCTCCGGCTGATGCTGCTGTTGCGGCTGGTTCTCAGGCTTCAGGTGTTTTGGCAGGTGGTCAGGTGTCAAGTTCTCTGGCTGCTGCACCATCTCCCTCTCATGCTCCTGCTGCTGCTGCTGCTGCTGCTGCTGCTGCTGCTGCTCCAGCCACTGCTGCACCTTCCGTTCGGACTCATACGCCTGAAACTCTTGCTCGCCGTCCCCCTCACCCTCTCCCTCTCCTCCTTCTCCCTCCCCTTCCACATCCCCCCCTACTTCCATCACAGTCACCACCTCTTTTACCCCTTTTGCCTTTTGAGTCAAGGATTCAAAAGTCTCTGTCGTTTCCTCGTGCTGCTGCTGTCCCAAAAACGGGTGTGTTTTGCTGTTGCTCCCCCCCTTTGCCACCTCCCTTTCACCCGCCCTTGCCGCCTTTTCCGTCTCTCCTCCCACTCTGTCTTTCTCACTTCCTCCATACTCTTTCGCCCCAGCAAAGCACCCAGCCAACTCATTCAGACACCCAGTTGCAGGAGCACCAGCGCAACTTTCAACGTTCCCAAGCTGCTCCTTCTTCCGCCTTGCCGCAGCTGCGGCGGCGGCTCGGCGTGCAGGTCCGGCAGACGGGGTGGTTGGAGATGCAGGTCCGGGGGCAACAGCAGAGATAGGCAGAGAGACAGGCTCGGGAGCAGGTTTGGAAGCAGGTTTGGCCGGAGGTGCGGATGGAACAGGGGTTGCAAGTTCCTCTGGTGTTGTTGCTTCTGCTGCTGTTGTCCCTGCTGCTCCAGCAGCAGCATCGACACATGCAACAACAGCAGGAGCGGCGGCAGCAGCAGCAGTAAGACCAGAAGCAGGAGCAGGAGCAGCAGCAGGAGCAGGAGCAGGAGCAGCAGCAGGAGACGGAGCAGCAGAAGGAGCAGGAGCAGGAGCCGGGGCGTTGGCAGCTTTGGCCTTGGCAGCAGCCGCAGCGGCTCTCCTGGCGGGGCCAGTCAGGTAGATTGCTTTGGCCGACCGTACAGAGGTAAGTGAAAACGAGGCGGTGGAGGAGGGGGTGGGCGGAGCAGCGGAGTCTTCAGCAGCGGAATCAGCAGCAGAGGTAGAGGTAGTTAGATGCTGGGAAGGAGTAGTTATTTCAAGTCCAGTGGCAGCACCGAGAGCAGGGGCAGGAGTGGCGGTCACATCAGCAGTAGCAGCAGTAGCAGTTGGTAGTTCCTCCTGTGCAGGTGCAACTGTTGCAGGTGTATCTGGTGCAGGTACAACTGGTGCAGGTGACGGCGCAGGAGGAGGGAGAACAGACGATGGGCTGCTACCAGTGCTCGTGGCAGCCGCTTTCCCTCCCTCCCCGTCGCTGCTGGCAGCCTCAGCTGCCTGTTCAGGTGAAATCTCAGGTACTTCTGCAACAGACGGGAGGGCACCTAGGCTGAAGCTAGAGATGTTCCCCAGGCCTGGCTCCGAACCAACCACAGCAGGTTCGGCAGGAAGAGATGGAGTAGGTTCGGCGAAAGGGATACCCAGGCACTCCTCTCGCATAATCTTAACCACAGATAAGGCAGCTGTCACCAAAGCAGGGTTCTTGAAACGAACGATCGCTGCAGGTGCTATCGGAGCATACTCAAACGAGGATCCGACGGAGGCTGGCACGGAAGCGTCCGAGCCTGAGTCCGTTGCCGTACCTGCCGCCGAGCCAGAATCCGTGGCTGTTCCAGCTTCGGAGTCAGTCCCCGTACCTCTTCCGAGCCCGTCATTGTCACTGTTGCAATTAGCACTGTGGTAACCAGACGTTCCCTCGCTACTAACGCTGCCGTTCATGCTCCCGTTGTAAGGAAAGCTCTTCCGTCTCGCCACTCGCCCCCTCACTGTTCTGTTGCTCTGCCTTCTGTTGCTGCGCCTGCTGCTGCCGCTGCCGCCATCGTTTTCACACTCCTCCTTAATCTCCTCAAGAGCCACTATTTCCTCGTTAAAGTCCTCCTCCGTTATAAAATCAAGCTGCCCTGCCAGCATCAGCAGGCTGCGGCGCTTATCGGGGGCAACAGAAATGCTGCTGCTTGCAGCACAGGCGCACCTACCGTTGCTGCTCCTGCTGCTGCTGCCGCTGCCGCCACTTCCGAAGCTGCTTCCCTTGCTAAAACTGCTACTCCCGCTGCTGCTCATGCTGTTGCTGTTCGCAGCGCCGCAGGTGCAGGCATGGGGGGGGACGAACGACGCGATGGTATCGCGGCAGCGGACGGCGGAGGGCTCGACGGGATATTGCGCGCGCGAGAGCTTCGAGAGAATGTGCGGAACCTGCGGAAGAGGGGGGACGGCGGAGGTGGGGAAGCGGAGGGGTGAGGAGGAGAGAAGGGGGAATAGATGGGACGAGCAGGACGAAGCGGAGGCATCATGGCAGCGTATGGCAGAGGACTCGGCGCGCTAATACGTACACGAAAACCCGGAGAGGGCGCAAAATTTAACCCGCAGTGGTTACTGTATTCCCTACCAGAGGGTAAACTACCCCCTGACACCCACGCCCGGCCTATTTACCTGGAACTGCCATCCCGATGCTTGTCCGTGCGACAGCCCGTGCCAGTGCGGCTGCTGCACGGGCGACGGCTCGACGACGGAGTGTGCGTCGCGCAGAGCGTCGCCCAGTCGCATGGTCAGGTCCTGAAACTTTTGCGCTGCCCATTCCGAGCTGATCGCCTGAGTGGAGACGGGAAGGGATGTAGACAGATACCAACAACAAAAAATTGTGACACCCGGTTTTCCTCGAAATGCGCATTGAGCGGACTGGAAAAACGAGCGGCGAGGGAGGGGAAAAGAAGACGGGGATAAGAGAACACGCGGCATGCAGCCGCCCGCGTTCCCGACAAACTCACGATGTACGCCTTGCTGCGCGCCAATGAGCACCAGTAGAGCAATCCGGAAGCTTCCTCCAGCACGGCCCTCAAATCGTCCAATGCCGACTGAAGCAAGATGTTTCCGCGAAGCTGCTGCCGCTGCGCGCTCCACGCGTCTACCAGCGGCTCGACGTCCTCCAATAGGGAAAGCAGCAGCGCGCAGTGGCTTCTAAGAGCCGAGGCGCATTCCGGTGGCGGCGCGTTGTCTTCGTCGAGGATGGATGTTAGGAGGAAGGCGAGGCGGTCTGTCAGACCGTAGAAATCCATTCGGGCAGTCATTGTCGGTTAATCGACAGACCGGTTTGGCGGTAACTGTTTGGAACGGACGAACGGCGTCTAAGCTGACGGAGCCGATTCGCGTAATCTTGGTTATAAACGAAGGGCGATGCTGACGGCTAATATGCTAAGCTAACGACTGAATGCATGCAGGAGCAGAGTTAACTAAACGCCATTGTCTGACTAACCAATGTTTTTTTCCCCTGGTTTCACACCATTGCAAGCACTAATCGTCTCGCCAAGTCGTGCGGAACTGCTTTCATTCCCATTGCCTAGTACGAAAGGAAATCAGTGCGACACTAAGGAAGAGAGAAAGAGAGTGCAACTATGCTATGGTGTGGTTCTCGAGAAATAACAGAACGTTTCAGTGCGGTGGGGAACGATACAATGATTTTGGAGGGGCTCCCTGGTTTCCGCCGCTCGACTTGCTCCCAACACATTTTGCATATTACCGAGTCGCTCGCTCAGAACCACAGCCCCGGCCGGGGCGCATATCGCCGTAGCCGAGCCGGCCGCCGCGTTTGACAAAACAGAAAAGAGGGTGCTCTACGTTCGGACAAGCTTGGGATCCTCTTTCGTGAGAGATGTGGTGGTTTGGGGGACTTCGAACCTGAAACAAACTCCGCCAAGGGCTTGTAACGTGGTTTATGGGGCCGCAAACAGTAACGCCGAACTAAAAGCCTGAGCTGGACAGGGACGTCCAAGCGAGTGCGATAGCTCAGGTGTGTCACGAGTCACAAGACTCAGAAGGGCTTGGGACCACGTCCAAGTCTCGACATCACGCCCTTTTGCTGTGGTTTCACAAGGATAACCCAGATAGGGAGACTCGTTTACGATACTAGCTGTTACGCTAGTACCTGAAAACTAATATCACCGCTGTTTGATATAACGGTCAGTGCTAAACACTGTCAACAAGGTGCTTGTGGAACCGCACAGCATGGCTCGAATGGAGGTTAAGCTCGCTTGAAGCGGCCATCGCAACTGCCAGTGCATCAAAACCGTGCAAAAATTGAAGGCCACACTTCATATTACTTCATGAACATGCGATGTTGTATGACTGCAATGAAGCAAAAACGCTATGACAACCCTTACAAACAAAACAAGGGCTCTACTATTATTTTAAATGGGTTGTGAATTTGTGTAACGTTTCATAGGTATAATCAAGAAAATAGTGTGTGACACAAACATCAAGCATGATCTACCGTACGAGCATTAAGGTAAATAACATAGGCCTCTTCGGTGTTAACGATAGTGTATATCGCCGCATTGACATGTGTTGGAGTCTTAACCTATCTGTTGATGACACAACTGGTGCACTCAGACGTTGGTGGCTAAGTGTACAAGTATAGCTCTCATAAATTAACACTCAACTACATGTAGAACAAATATTGAGAAGTGTATTGGCGACAATGCATCAAATCTGTTAGGACCACTTACAGCATGAATGTGTGCATCTAGATGTACATAGTTAGAATAACTCTATGTCACACGCTACGTTATACGTATTCAGTTGTGCAGTTCTGGGTAGAATTTGGGTTGCCGATTTTCTGGCGCCTCTGGAATTTCTTAGAAGTTCAGTAAAGATGGAAATTGCCCTGGTTTTTGTTACGATATGAAGTTTTATGAGAAGGCATTCCTGTATGCTGCAGGAGCCGACTCTACCGAGTACGAAGTCGAGGAGTCAGAAGAGTCGAAGCGACGCAGCAACCGTCCGACCAAGACCGATGCAGGCAGAAACATTTGAAGTAAAAAGAGCGGGATCAGGTTTGAAACGGGTTCCCGCGCCGCACGGTTTGAATTCGGTTGTAATAAGGGAATGTACCCCTTAGAGTACATGGCTAGTCTAGGTCCTTTCGTATTCCCCTGTATCCTTATATAAACTCGATGTATGCATGCTATTATTAACTCAGTCATTTACATTCACTCTGACCTGAGATTCAAACTTCCGCTGCAACACTACTCTGCGATCAACCCTGAGCGATCCTTCGCTAAGTCCCTCTTGGGATTGTAACATGGTATGAGAGCTACTCATGGATTCTTCGCAACTTTACTTCCGTGAAATTCGCCGAACCAAGATCTGGCGAGCGGCACACGCTCCAAGACCAAGATGGCCGGAGGATCCGGAGGTCAGTCAAATCCAACGGCCGAAGGACAAACCAACCCGGCTGCGACAAATGAGGCGACAACCACGATCGGCACTGCCGCCCTCGAGCAACTCTTCGCTCGACTTTCAACTATGGAGAAAGAACTCCAAGAACTGCGCAAAGGCGATGCGGGAACCTCTTCCCAACCAGCACAACCTGGACAACCGGCTGAGAAAAGCCGTGATACCGCCGCGCACACCTTCTCCCTCGACACTGACAAATCAACAACAACTGCCCCCCATCCAAGTGATGAGGCTATCAACTCTGCGCAAACACGCTTCCTCAGCGTTTCAAAGATTAAGACTACTGCCGCGTTTGACGGCAAGGATTTTTACACATGGAGTTTTGAGCTGGAGCTCCTCCTACAAACGGCGCAGATCTACCATTACTTCGACGGCTCCTATCCTAATCCGGTGGAAGACACCGACGTCGCCAGGGCTCAGTATTACAGCGAGTCCCTCATGGCCTACAGTGTGCTGCTACGCAATATGACGCCTGCGGAATAACTCAACATTCGCTCCTACAAGGAGAGCGACGCTCCAGCCTTGGAAGCTTGGAAGCACCTCATTGAGGTTTATCAACCGAAGGACTCGGTCACCGCCAGCAGACTGCTGCAGCAACTCCTGGAGATAAAAATGGGGCACGGGGAGAAGGCAAATCCTTACATTAACTCAGAGGAGATCTTCGTCAACATAGTCCTTCAAGGACTCGGGCCAGAGTGGAAGCCCTGCAAAGCGTTACTCCGACAGCGAGGAATCATTTCAGAAGCTGCGCTATGCGCCGCACTCCTGTCCGAACAGCAAGACATGGACTCGAGCAGAACAAGCTCCGCGTCGCGCCGAGAGCGCCTCGCCTTCTACACGGACAACCGAGAAGAGCGACGACAACCAAGGCGCCATTATTGCAAAATATGCAAAGTCTTCGGACACTCAACGGATCGATGCAAATCCCGATCCAACTACCGCCACCCAAATTCCACTCACCACAACAACTGGGTCGGCCGACAAGACGCTCGTCATTCTCAACCTCAGCATCAGCAAGCTCGTCCTCCTGCACAGCATCAACACCAACAAAATCAAGGACCACCGTCAGGAGCTCCCAGGAACGTCATCGCGAACATGGCGACACGACGCCGGCGCACCGCTGAACCTGACGAGGAGAACGAAGTCCAAGGAAGACTTCTACAACCGGAAGAGGGATGGAATAATCCCCTCACCGAGGACCACTACTACCTGCACGACGAAGACGAGCAGGATTGGAATCAACCAATCACGCTGCGGGAAAGCCCGCCACACGACAATCAGCACTACGTACCAGTGGGCTGGAAGGAGGACGAAGATCCTTACTTCTACAGGCGTTTCAAATCCACCCTGGTGACTCCGCGATTGGCGCTGCTGCTGCGCCGAAACAACACCAACAACCACAACACCTGGTACCTGGACAGCTGCTGCGGACAGCACATGGTGGGGTCCACGCGCTATGTCTCTAACCTGAGTCGCGCCCCCGCAACTTACGTCACCGTCGCCAACAACGAGCAGTTGCGCGCCAACTCACAAGGCCTTGCCGTCCTGCAAGCACGAGATAGCAACACGCACATCTCGTTCAACGACGTACTCTACGTCCCGAACCTCCGCTTCAACCTGCTCTCGGCTGGACAGCTCCGCGATTGCGGCGTCATCATTCACACGGACCTCGCGACGCGCGATCTCATCCTCACCTACGCTCCCCCAGACACTCCTCCTGAGGCATTCAAGTACCTCGGACGAGCTCGCTCCATCAATGGGATCTACATCCTGGACTTTGACATACCTCCCTGTCAAGCCTCGTCGGACGAGCTCGTGGATCTTGTCCCCCTCGAGTTCGCCTTCATGAACCAGGAGTCTTGGGAGCATCCGGATGGAAGAACGTGGATTCGCCGCAGCCCTCATCCGCGTAAAATCAATCTTCACGAACCTGACGCCCATGGACTGTGCACCACCTGTCACACACCCACTGCAAGTCGCACGGAGCAAGTGGAAAGGGAGCAAGCGGCAATTCAGGAAGCAGAAAGCGCTGAGGCAGAACCAACAGGCATGACTGAAGAAGAACTCGCCGTATCATCACACCGCATATTCGGTGAGCCGAGCAAGAAATTCGGCCAGGAGCAGCAGGAGAGACCAAGGCCTTACTTGGACACCCTACGATTCGTCCTCGAAGCCAACGCGCGCACCCTCGACGAAGAAGAACGTCCGCGCCCGTACACTCGCGAAGTCTACCGCCGCGAGATTGACCCTGCCTGGAAAGATCCTTACGCACCAGAGGAGCTAAGCGTCAAAGAAGAACAGGAGAAGGCCCAAGCGGAGAAGCGGCAGAAGCTGTATGAGGAGCGCATCGCGGCAGGTTGGGACCCAGATTCTGCGCGCGGAGGATGGGGCAACGAGCCCGCTGATCCAGAAGGCGGCGCAACCTGGGGCTCCGCAACTGGAGCATGGGGAGCCGGCGCTAGCGGCACGGTCACCACGGGAGGATGGGGAAACAGCGAGCCCGACGAAGGAGAGCTCACGCAAGAGGAATTGGAGGAAGCTGAACGAGAGATACAAGCTGAGCGTGGAGAACCATCCACTCGCGTCGTCATTCCACTCGGACGACCCCCTCGCACCCGCTCACCTCCCTCTTCCCCCCATCGGTGGCGCGATCGTTGGTCAGAGATTGAGGAGGGGAACGTACCGCCAACGCCTCCACGGGACTCACTCGGTCCAATCTCCCGCCCAGATCCGTTTGCGCGCTTCATCGAAGGCACCACGACCCCGCTCACGATCATCCCTGATCGCGAATTTCTCGCCCTGTATCTCACAACGGCACCTGCAGAAGGGGAGGCAA